GTCCAGAGTTAAACATTTAAACGTCTTTATAAAGTGAAAGAGAGTGGTGCACAGTTTGAGGTGTTCTGTACAGTTGTTCCAGAGCTCCAGTCCTTTAACAGATTTACAAAAGTTCATAGTGTTTGTTTTGATTTTCTTTTTGATAAACATTCGGATTTTGAACATATTCTGTAATGATTTTGACATGAGATTATTGTTTACATTGACCATGATTTTCAAAGTGTAAAGGTCGACTAAACCGTAAAATGTTAGAGTTCGAAGGTTTTTAAATAACGCATTGGTTGATTCATTATAAGTTGATAATGTGATGCTCTTATTGTCTTTTTCTTGCAAGGTAAAGTTTAGATTTGTATTAGTCTTATATGTATCTCATTGCTCTCAAATGTGTCATTGCTCCACCTGGAATGTTCCGCAGTGTGACATTAAACAGATTTACTTTACATTTATTCAATTACAGGTGGTTTTATAGCTCAGAAGTATCTAGAAAAACATCTGGCCTGTAACTTGGTCTGGTTTAATGCGAGACAAAGCAATAACATCGTCATGGAGAAAAGTTACACAGTGCACCTTAAAAAAATCTAATCAAAACAAAACAATATTACTGATTTTCTCGTCCTTCTCACATTGATTTTGTGACTAAGCAGCTCCTCGGGCTCTCACTCGGGGTCATGCATTTCTTATGAGCAAAAACATCTGTCTGAAATATTCATAACCGTATATTTGCACTTTACAATAAAAGCTCCGCTGTAGTCCTTTAAGCGTCTTTACTTCGCATGTAGGTTAAGAGCGGATGAGACAAAAAGTCTTTGTTAAAATGACTGTCTTTTGTCCGTCTCTGTTGCTCGCTGCGGTCGGTCTCCTAGCAACAGCCTCTTCCTCCTCTGCTTCCTCTTGGTAATAATAATAATAATAATACTGAGTTTGAATGGGCCAAACTCAAGACAGGGATAATAACAAGACAGCGTGTGCTAAAAACACATGCATATTTGACTGAACTGCAGCAAAATTAGGATTCAAAATGTTTCAAATGAATGAATTATCAATAGGATTATAAACAAGATCACCACTGCAAGTGACTTTAAAACTGTAATGTGTTTATTTATTACTCAATACTGTCATTTCAAAGTAATTAGTTACATTACAATGTTACTGCATTTAAAATGTAAGACATAGCATGACTACTGCAGCACTTTTAAGTTATTCTTATTCTAACTGTGAAGATGCTGAAATTTTGCGCCGTATATGGACTGAACCAGGACTGAACCAGGACTGAACCAGGACTAAACAAAGTCTAAACCAGGACTGAACCAGGACTGAAACAAGACTAAACTAGGACTGAACCAGGACTGAACTAGAACTGAACCAGGACTAAACAAAGTCTAAACCAGGACTGAACCAGGACTGAACCTGAACTGAACCAAGACTAAACCAGGACTAAACCAGGTCTAAACCAGGACTAAACCAGGACTAAACCAGAACTGAACCAGGTCTAAACCAGGACTAAACCAAAACTGAACAAGAGCTGAACCCAAACTGAACCAGAACTGAACCAGGTCTAAACTGAGGACTGAACCGAGGACTAAACCAAGACTAAACAAGGTCTTAACCAGGACTAAACTGAGACTAAACCAGAGCTAATCCAGGACTGAACCAGGTCGGACCGGAGTTCTATGTCCGCGGTCACCTGACCGTCTACGTGGGCGCGTCTCCAGCGTTTCACCGTTGCTGATATCACGGTGATTTTAGCTAAATTAATATGAAGAAAAACCCACCACCTCAATCCAGGTTAAAAAAACTTTGTAACACATGTTACTCACATTTGTTCCGAGTAAAATATTACTATTTTTTCCCTATAATTCCAAACATTACTGTGTTACAGCAAAAAGCAATGCATTACAGTAATTTGTTACTTTTAAAACACGTTACTCCCAACTCATGAGTAGACCAAATAGCAAAAATAATATGTTTAAGGTCCTATATTATGGAGCATTGACTCTTGTGAGCTTTTGGTCGTGTTCTAAAGTTGTTACCTCATCAAAAACAGAGCTGGACTTGTGTTTTGTTTCATTCACACATGTTTGACTAACTCTTTATTATTAGTCTGTCTACATCTCCAAAGCTCAAAATGTTCAGTTTTTACTTGACAGTTATTGCAAAAAGGTTTATGTTCTGTTCTGCATGTTTTAAATCATCCCCTCCTGGAACATTAACATTTGAACCTATGCCCTGATAATACAAGAATCACAAAAAGACAGCATTTTTATTATCTTTGCACCTTGTGACTTCATAATTGCAAGTCAAACTGTGATTTTGTTTTGATTGAGACATATTGTGTGTCTTTAAATGAAAACCAACCAAACATGCACCACACGCCCACAAACATGGACATTAAAGGTCCTATATTACACAAAACTGACTCTTGAGATTTAAGTCATGTTACAATGTTGTTACCTCCTCACAAACACACCTGGAGTTGTGTTTTGTTTCATTCACAAATGTTTGAGTAACTCTTTAGTATTAGTCTGTCTACATCTCCAAAGCTCAAAATGCTCTGTTCCACCTTGTGATGTCATGAAATGATAGTTTTCATGTGATCTTTTGTCTTTTGTTTAGAAGAGATCAGCAATTCCAGGGCTGAAATGATTCAAATGATTCTAGTGAAGGTGCATGGAGTTCAAAAACACAGTGGAGCACGTCCTGTATTATCACGTGACATCACAAGGTGGAACAAGGTGGAGTGTTTTCAATTTCAGAGAAGAACTCATCCTAAATATGTAAAACACAACTCCAGGTCTGTTTGTGATGAGGAAACAACATTATAACAGAACAATAATAGTGAGTAATAGATTTCAATTCACAATTTCACAAATATAAAAGCGTTACTGTCAAACGTGCCTTGTCTTTTCTCCTGTTTTTGTTCACATCGGCGTGCATGTGTGTGCGCGCCCGTTTCACGCCTCACTTCTCAGATGGAGGAAGCGAGCGGCCATGTTAGTGCGTTGCTAGGTAACTGCTCTGGTTTGGGTTTAATGGCGCCACGCGGAGATGGTTTCCCGTGGAGACCTGGCATTTGTGATGGCACTTATACAGGAAGGAAAATACAATCCGATGAGCTTATGAAATCATTATGTAACATCTGTTTAATCACCTGCTGCTCCTGGATGCATCAGGAAGTGGCTCATTGTGTCAATGCACTTACAGGGCTCCAGAATAGAACCAGAACCAGAATGAAAAAAAAATAATCACATGAAAAAATCAACTTAAGTAAAACTACTGAATTACTTGTTTAAAATGCACTTTAAGAGTAACAAGTAAAATGTTTTGCAGCATTTTTTTTTAACAATTAAAGCATCAAAAGTAGTGGTGTTGATAAAGAATTGAGCTGATTTTAAAGGTACAGTCCAGAATTTTGGACATAGGACCTCATTTCCTAGTGATCCAGAGTGTTGGAGACGTGTGGAGACACTTTTTGAAATCTTCCATCCAGTCCTTGTATTTGCAGAGGTCACTGGTGTTAGACTAGTGCATGTCAATGGTCATAGTTCACCTGCCACTAAAAACACCCCAAACAAATCTATTATTACACCAGACTGTCGAAAAATAAAATTCCAGACTGTCCCTTTAGGCAGTTCTTCTGATTTCTTAATTTTTCTTGCCGTTTTGTGTTTTTATGTTTTTGATTTGCTCAAAGTTGAGATGTTTACCTAAATTAAAAATGTTAAAAATAAGTCTCAGCTTTTTCAGCAGGTCTCAAGCATAAAGACAAGTAATTTTTAGCTTTGAGTCCAGATCTAAAATGTCAAATGTAGTGAAGAAGAAGTAAAGAGTATCCACTGTAAAATCTACTTAATCAATACAATCTACTTTGGTATTTTGTTACATTCCAACACTGTTATCTGCAACATAAAAAAAAGTGAAATAAATAGTTGTAAATAGTTGTTTTGAAGATATGTACTATGTCCTTAACTCTACATACAGTATATAGACTGAGTATTTATCTCAACGGTCTGTTCCACCTTGTGATGTCATGTGGTAATACAGGAAGTGCTCCACTGTGTTTTTTAACTCCATACATCCATACGTGACTACTGTAGAATCAACTGGATGACAGCCCTGGAATTGCTCAAACTAATTCAACTTTCTTAAAGGTAGAAAGTAGCTGTTAACTTGAAAAACAGACAGACATGTGTGAATGAAACAAAACACAACTCCAGGTCTGTTTTTGACAAACATTCTAACATGACTTAAAGCTCACAGGAGTCTATTTTGCATAATCTAGGAAGAACCATTAAGGACAGACACTTGCAACTGATGTTTGGCCACACATACTTTCTTCATCACAAAATAATATCTTGGGCATGTCCTGATTTTTGCCCTGAAATGCTGTTCTCTTTGTTTGACTCATTTGTCCTTATTGATTGATTGATTGATTTGTTTGTTTGTTTATTTGAAACAGGGACAGCAAACAATTTTTACATGAACCTTAACAGGAGAGATGTTTGTACATCAGGTTGTAGAATCAGTGCTAATTTCCACCTGTCGTCCCTGGGCAGATTCATTAATTGATTGTATTTAACTGACCTTGGCTATTAACTGTTCTTCCTGGAGACCTGTAGCATGTTTTGGGTCCTTGAGCAAAACATCTTACCTACTTCATTCTTATCATTCAGTGGGATTGCACAAGTAGTCCATCTGAAACCTTCTTGTCTGGAGATGTTGATGGTCTTGCCCAAAATGACGTAGACTTAGACACATATACCATAATATATAATATAAAACATAGCAGTGACCTTGGAGACAAGAAGGTGACTCCACTAAACCAAGTGCCAATCCATCAGTAGTCCTCCAGCTCAAATTTAAACTAGAATCTTTGTGAAATTAAGTAAACACAACCGATTAATCAAATGTATGGTGCTGGTTTCCTGGTTTGTTGTTAAAAGTCTAACGGTCTGTGCATGTGTTTGTGTGTTTGTGTTTGTGTTGTGTTTGTGTGTGTGCAGGTGAGCAACATGTTGACCAGTATCACAGAGAGCATCCTGTGCTGTCTGACCGGGAAAACCAACAGCCTGGTCCTGCCTCTGGAGTCCTCCCAGCCCTCAGACGGGTACGACGTCCAAGACAACACAACCAGAAATATGACTCAGATTTTGCTCCACTAACAGATCATTTGCTCAAAAGGATAAATTGTTGAGAAAATGTCAAGTTATATTAAGTGTTTTTAAATTAATCAAACTAACTACTGTCACTATTCAGGAGTGAGGTCAAGCATCTTCTTACCTCCACAGAGATGTTACTGCTTTAGCTGGAATGTTTCACCAGAAAAGTGACAAAGTGGATCTTTAGTTATCTTTGCTATCTGTGAAAATGAAAAGTATATTAAGAATTTCATTTGACTCTTTTGATTTTAGTGTCAATAATCAGTGTTTGTTCTCATAATATCTTTAAAATGTGAAGTCTAAACTCTTTTCTTGCATCACAGATATGAGTTTGTGGAGGTCAAACCAGGCCGGGTCCTTCGAGTTCGCCACATCGTTCCAGAGCGCCCCCCGCTGACGCCCAATGACAAAAGCTCAGAGGGGGACGAGGTGCGAGAGGAGGAGAGCACCGTGCACTGCAAACGCAAAATCACCGTCTACCGCAACGGGCAGCTCCTCATCGAAAACCTAGGCGACGTTTTGCACTCGGAAATCTTACAGTGTCAGGACGGAGACTTGGAGCCGTGCAGCACCGTGGAAGTGGAACTGGCCGATTATAAAGAAATGCCCTCGTCCCCGGACCCTAACCCCGCCCCTCCGCACGTGCCCGGTGAACACAAACCGGCGCCCCCTCCCCGGAGACGCCGCCGCCGACCCAAACGCACCGTCCTCATTGACTCAGAGAGGACCATCTCCAGCTGCAAAGGCACGCACTCTGATGTAGCGCTGTTTTTCGTGCACGGGGTGGGAGGCTCCTCGGACATTTGGAAGAGTCAGGTGGACTTCTTCTCGCGGCTGGGCTACGAGGTGATCGCTCCGGACCTGGCGGGTCACGGGGCGAGCAGAGCGCCGCAGATCGCAGCGGCGTACACGTTCTACGCCCTGGCAGAAGATCTGAGGGCCATATTCAAGAGATACGCTCGCAAACGCAACATCCTCATCGGACACTCCTATGGGTGAGTGACGGTTTGTTAGTCTGATTTGGTTTTCTGCAAAGTAAATATTGATTTCTTAAATGTATATGGATTAAGGCTGGGAATTTTAGCGCACTGTTATCACGTTATTCAGGCATATTTAACAACAGTTTTTTTGGCCATCAGCACATTCCAACTTCAGCTGAATTTGAGCAGACGGGCGAGTGGTGCATTAAAAAGCAGAGAGTGCATGTGTAGAGCCAGACTCTGGGTCAGACTGTTCTGCCACCTCTGATTCTGCAAGTTTTTGTTCTCTCCTCTGCTGCTCTGTCACAGTGAGTGAGTGTGTGAGTGTGAGTGTGTCTTTGTGTAAGTGTGTGTGTGCCTGGTTGACATGAGAAGTGTGTATCTGTTTATCTTCTCACACGTGGAGCAGGAGAGGATTTATTGAATTTGAACCAAAAATACATTTTTATTTAATTGTCTAGATGACTAAGTAAACCGTGCTCATGAACCTGCTCCCTGGTGCAGTGTAGCTTTCACACGAGTAGAGCAGAGCAGCATCCACGTGCACATCCACGTGCACTGTCGCTCTGAGCTGCTGAATCACACTGAGCCAGCACCTGTGCAGGTTGGCATTGGAAATGATTTGACCTTAACATGTCGTATAAAATATGACACATCCAAAAATATTGACATTGACTGAAATATCAACTGATAAACTAACACTACTAGAGTATATTCTGTGAAAAAGTGTCTGAAGTTACACTCATTTACAAATCCCAGCAGCCCCAGTATAACTTGTAGGCTCCACATAAGAAATGCCTCTTGAAGCAATCATAAAATCAAATAAAAGGTACACATAGGCATATGTAGCCCCAGGATAGGGTTTGGTGTGATTTCTGTGGTGTGACTCGTCTCTCCTCTCTCTCCCGCAGGGTGTCATTCTGCACGTTCCTGGCTCACGAGTACCCTGAGCTGGTGCATAAGGTGGTGATGATAAATGGAGGAGGCCCCACGGCTCTGGAGCCCAGCCTCTGCTCCATCTTCCAGCTGCCCTCCTGTGTGCTGCACTGCCTGTCGCCCTGTCTGGCCTGGAGCTTCCTCAAGTGAGACACGCCACATACAACCACATTATCATGGTATCACAGATGTAAGATACACCATAAAGAACCAGATTATCATGGTATCACATGTAAGACACGTCACCTATAACTGTATGATGAAAGCAGACACGTCTTATCTGTCCATCTGTGTAAAGGCTCTTGCACTATTCAGGCTTTTAAAATTACTTTGTACATCTTAACTTTCATGTGGATAAAAGGTGCACTATACAGGTTTTCTGTTAAGGGTCCATCACCAGCTTGTCTATGGAGATGCCATTTCTTTGCCTAGAATGTTCCACTATGGCATTAATCTAACCTTTATCTCTATTGCATAATATTCACGTTACATTTACACTGAAACAAATCACTGTATTGGAAACGATTTGCGTCCAGACACGTCATTTCTGTGTCCGTAAGTCTTCCCTGTCCACACAGCTTTGAGCATATTTATTTAGATTTTACAGAAGTGAAACTTCAAACCACATGACTCATTGGCATAAACTAAGTGCTCAAAAAACAGCTCGCTTTTGTGCGCTGATGCAGTTCAGCTTCTGTCAGACTAAAGGACACGACTCAGTGGAATCTGAGTGTTCTTTCTGTGACAGAGGGGTGTTCTGCTGATGGTGAGTCTGTTCTGTGTCTCTGTCGTGTTGGAGATGGTTCATGTGAAACTTTTCAGAGATTATACGTCTGCAGGTCGTACACACACACACACGTTTATATGAATGGACAGATATTCTTGCCTCTTAGTATTTTGGCGGTGAATTACTTCTCAGTGCACAGATTTCGTGGGAGTTGGAGGCACCAGGTCATTCTGTCTCTGGAGCCGTTTTCCATCGGATTAGTGTGAACGAACACTGCACCCACAACGAAAATGATTCAAATACGTACTAGTGTGGACGGGGCCTCAGTTACATGTGATTTTAATCCCATAATAAAAAAAAAAAACTTGGAAAAAACCTACTGCCTATATGTAAGCCTCTCCACGGATCTGACCATACCATAACACTGTGGAACATTTCATCCAGACAAAGCAATAGCATTTCCATGGAGACGAGCAGGTGGCAGACTCTCCACCAGGAAACACTCGAATCAAAATCACTACTACTACACTAAATACTACTGTTACATGATAATTGATCACAAGTACATCTAAACGTCAGCTTATAGTAACTACTCTACAAAGCACAATTAATTGAGATTGTCTAGAAATTTTACTCTTCTTGTCGTGTAAATAATGGACCATGTGTTTTCAGGGCTGGCTTTGCTCGCCAAGGTGCCAAAGAGAAGCAGCTGCTGAAACAGGGAAATGCCTTTAACGTGTCTCCGTTCGTGTTGAGGGCCATGATGAGCGGTCAGTACTGGCCCGAGGGAGACGAGGTGTACCACGCCGAGCTCACCACGCCCATCCTCCTCGTCCACGGCCTCTGTGACAAGTTTGTGCCCATGGAGGAGGACCAGCGCATGGCAGAGGTAAGGCTGGGTTTAAAGCGTACACTGTATAAACAATTTACTTTTGGATTTCCAACCGCGAGTGTCAGAGCAACCAAAGAGCCAGTCCAGAGCGAGGGAGTTAAAAGTGACTTTGCTTTCCGTCTGCACCACTGGTTTAGCGACACTGTCAATCAGAGCTGTTATTTACACTAAAGGGAATGACCACGGGGAAAGAAGGTGGTGATGAATCTGTGTATCATCTGTTCATTCGTTTTTCAAAGTAAAACCAAAAATAAGAAAAACGAAAAAGCAACTATTTTCATTTCCATTATTTGTCTCCAAAACCAAAATGAAACCAGACCAGACAGGGACTGAGACTGGTTTAGACCTGGTTCAGTCCTTGTTTAAACCTGGTTTAGTCTTTTTTTAGTCCTGGTTCAGTCCTGGTTCAATCCATATGCAGCGCAAAAGTCCAGCATTGTCGTTTAAGTCACGGAAACGTGAAATGGCCATTATCGTTTTTTATTTCCATTATTCATTTAAACACAAAATAAAACTGAAAAAAACAAATAGTTATACATTTTTTCATTTTAATTTTAGAGATAAATAATGAAGAAAAAAAATATATATATATATATATATATATATATATTTTTTTTTTTATTAATTTTTTTTTGTTCTTAGTTTTGGTTTTATTTTGAAAAACAAATGAACAAATGGTACACAGGTTCTGATGTGTCCATTGTTAATGCTCATATCTGGATTTACAGACAAAATAGCAAAATAAAAACAGTAGTAAATACTAAGCGAATTTGAGCCACAGTTGATGGAGCCTGTGTTCTGTTGAAATGGGCTGCCCCGTCAAAATGAGCTACCAGCAGCCTACATCGACAGTGACGTCTATCGATTCACGCTATCCTGTCGAAATAAGATATCTCAAGTTTTTCCATTTACATTTGTATTGATCCAATAAAGCCTGACCCTAATCTCCTCAGTTTTACAACATACAGTCCCTGACAAAAGTCTTGTCGCTTATCCATTTTGTAGAAACAAAAGCTTATAACCTGACTTTAAATTAATCGATTGGTTTTAGAAATGTCTCATATGAAGCTAAAACCCTCCCAAATTATGCTCAATATACGAAAATAAATTTGCTTCACTGAAGAAAGATTGATCATTTAATGAACACAGAAAGGTCAGATTTTGGCAAGACAAAAGTTTTGTCGCCTACAGAAAATTGAACAAATAATTTACTTCAAATACAAAAATATGTTGCATAACGTCAGTGAATGAAGTAGTGGTGCTGTGAGATCCATATTTAATATCTTGTATGACTTCCATGAGCTTGAAGGACGCATCCATGCGGTTCGACAATGATTCATACAATTTGTTGATGAAGTCATCAGGAATAGCAAAGAAAGCGTCTTACATGCCTCCCAGAGTTCATCAAGATTCTTTGGTTTTGCCTTCCATGCTTCCTCTTTCATTCTACCCCAGACATGCTCAATGATGTTCATGTCTGGTGACTGGGCTGGCCAGTCCTGGAGCACCTTGATCTTCTTCACCTTGAGAAACTTTGATGTAGAGATAGAAGTATGTGATGGAGCACCATCCTGCTGCAAAATTTGACCCTTTTATGGTTGGGAATGTAAGAGGAGCTAATACTTCTTGATATTTTAGGCTATTGATATTTGCCTTCCACCCTGCAAATGTCTCGCACACCCCCATACTGGATGGAACCCCAGACCAGGATTTTTCCACCACCAAACTTAACTGTTTTCTGGGTGAATCTTGGATCCATGTAGGCTCCAGTAGGTCTCCTGCAATATTTGCGGCGGCTGTGATGTAATTCAACCGAGGATTCATCTGAGAAATCCACCTTCTGCCACTTTTCCAGTGTCCATCCTTTTAGCAGGCTGTGGGCCTTGGCAAATGCCAAACGTTTTTTTTAATTGCTGTTTGTTTAGTGCTGGTTTCTGTGCACTGATTGGACCATGGAGGCCATTTCGAGACAGAATTCTACAAACTGTTGTGGTTGACACAGGGACTTGAGGTGACCAGGCCTGGTGGAGTCTGCTGCAGTGGAAAAGGGGCCTTGGATTTTCGAATCAACAAACGGTCCTCCCGAGCAGTTGTCTTGCGGCTTCTGCCGGACCTGGGCTTGTCAAAAACATCTCCAGTCATTTCAGATCTTTTTCTTATTCTTTGTACTTGACACTGAGACACATTGAAGGTGTCACCACCTCAGCAGTGGATCTGGTCTTCAGCCTCTTGATAATTAAGGCTTTGGTCTCAGGGTGGATCTTAGGCATGTTGTCAGAGGTCAAGTTGCAGTTGATGTGAAGGTCTGGTGTGCTGGGTTCTTTTTATACACACCCACTAATTGATTGATCAGTAACTGATCACAGGTGAGGCTGTAATCTAGGATTGGGTGCATCATATGACAAGACCACAAGACTTTTGTCTTGCCAAAATCTGACCTTTCTGTGTTCATTAAATGATCAATCTTTTTTCAGTGAAGCAAATTTTTTTTTGTATATTAAGCATAATTTGGGAGGGTTTTAGCTTTTATATGAGACATTTCTAAAACCAATCGATTCATTTAAAGTCAAGTTATAAGCTTTTGTTTCTACAAAATGGATAAGCAACAAGACTTTTGTCAGGGACTGTATTTGTTTGGATTAGCGACATGGGTTTGATGCTGTTTGCACACGGTGATCACACTTTATACCTTAGTTGTGTCAAATTTCAACTCATTTATATGAATCTGCGTAGTCCATTTTGACAGTTGTATTCTGCTCAAATAGAGCTCTGACTAAAGATAGTTCATGTCCACAGGACAATTTAACCATTGAATAATGCTCCCACTGCAGACTTAACATTATTTACTCATTTAGATGAATTTAATAGCCCTCATGCTCACTTCCTGTTTGGAACGCTATGGGGTTGTATACAGGTTTACCCACAGTTTAACTTTTATTGCAGAAATTATTTAATAAAGTAGAAAATACAAATGAACTGAATATGTGTACTTTCAGAATTTGTTTATTTTGTTCTTATCTCTGTTGCAAGGAGATCTAGTTTTGCTTATTATTTTGTATTCCCGTGGCAATAATCTGACCATCCCCTCGTCTTTTCAGATCCTTCTCTTCGCCTTCCTCAAAGTGATCGAGGAGGGCAGTCACATGGTCATGATGGAGTGCCCGACACCGTCAACACGCTGCTACACGAGTTCTTTCTATGGGAACCGGACCTGTCCAACCAGAACCAGAACCGAACCAGCTCCACCACAGAGAAAACCCTGCCTCTCAGTAACACTTACCAGACACTAAGAATCACGAAGGGTGGGGACAAATAACCAAAAAAGCTGAAAACGTTCAATATTTCTCCACCAATCGGATGAATTTTGGCGTTTATGTCCGTGGCGTCCTATTGGCTGTTGGCTGTTGTAAGCACCGCCTTGTTTTTGGGATGAGGAGGAAGGCCGTTGGGTGACGTTGAAGAAGACGGGACTTCACTTAATGCAGGTTGCCAGGTGGACTACTTTCTGGAATAAAATACATCGTTTCAACTTTGTGCTTATGGAAGTGCAGTATTCCCAATAATATGTGGAGTTTGAAAGGACTTTGTGAGTTTGTGGTGCGTGGACATTTTGGGAAACACATCTTCTCATACGGTGTCTGAATTAACATCTTACGTATTCTGCGACGACTGGTGTTGTGAAGAAAAAAATGACAAAAATAAGAAAACTATTGTCAATTCTAGCTCTCACAAATTGGTGGCTTTATTTATACACGCGAGATCTTTATTTTCGTAACTTATTGTCCCGACCCAAACCTTAAAGTGTGTCAGTGTAAGCACAAAGCAACTTCATTCGTGCATGAGAATACAATGATAATCTATAGCTGAAGTGGTTGCAATAAAGAAATAAATAAATATATAATTTCTAAACGCTATTTCGTACATAGTTCTCACGTCAGTATCCAAAGGCCCTGCATGACTTCAAATGCAACAGTGAGTAAAACAAAAACATAACAGATACAATTAAATGTGTATTAAAGTTTTCATGATTTGCCTATTTTTACAACTAACAATGGATGGTAGAAATGAATGGACCACGCGAAAAGAAAGCAAACGTTAAAGTGGGACTAAACACCTACAGTAGGTCACGTCTCATTTGTCTTTCCTTGCTTCCTTTTCTGTGATTCCTTTCCTTGATTCTGCAGAAAATGGGTGAGGAAATCCCACCCACAAAGGAAACACAGTGAGGAGAGAGGATCTAAACTCCTCTGAGACCGATAAAGTTTGTTTCTTTTATCTGACATCTGCCTCCTGAAGCCTCCCTCGTGTTTACTCCTCGCTTCCGTGGTTTTCCGCTTAATAAGACACATTTGAATGCTGAAAAATGGATGATCGAGGAGAGGAAGCGAGGAAAGAGAAACTCCACTCAAAACCACATTTCAAATAAAGCTGTTAAACTGAGCAGAACCTGGAGGACTAAAGAATAAAGTGAGGGGGGAGGAGGGGCGGGGTCTGGGGGTGTAAAGAGCGCTGTGATTGGTCTGACGCGAATCCATGCTTCAGAACTTCACCCCCGCGGCCAGGTGTTTGTATCAAAAACAACTGACAGTAATCGGTCATGCGCGATGATGTGTAAATCAGTCTTGCGTGATGTCAACAACTACTGGAAATTACAGAGACCGTTGGAGCCAGGATACACACATTTTTATACATTTTTTACTACAAAGATGCAGATTTACCTAGTTAAACCTAAAATTGCCAAAAAAAAAAAAGACTATTAGACTAAAGAGACTATTAATGGTTTATGGAGGATTTTTTAACTTTCAAACTGTCAATGAAAGTTCAGAATAGCATTATAGAGATGCAGCAGTCTTGTAATTACATGGTGGGGCCAGTTAAACATTAGCCAATAGATAATAAAAAGACTACATCATTATCTATCACTAAATGACTTCTGGACTGGTCACTACAATGGCAATTCGTTCAGCAATTCTTAACGTGCACCGGCTGTAAACAAACATGATTTAAGGACGAGGCGGGAGGAGACGTGTCACGCAGACGCAACATTTGAAAAAGGACAAACAGACGCTGGATTTCACTTTGCTTGGAAAATCCTCTATACAACCTTTAACAGAAGATAATGATCTTCAAACACCATATAAACAGCTTTGTAACAAGAATACAGTTGATTTAGTGTTTAGCTCCGCTTTAAACATGCAGCAAATCTACTGAACGCTAAATGTTAACTAAAACAATTGCTAATCAAATGTAATACTATGATAATTTATTGCTACGTAGTTACATACAGCAATTGACGAGTGTTGTTCATGTCTTACTCACTTAAATATCAAACACTAACTATTGTTTTTAAATTGTATGTATAATATTTGAAGAGAGGGCTACCATGCCAAATTCCTCCAAATGTAATCCACTAATACTAATTGAAAACATGTATGATTATTAACCTGAAAACATTCTAAGTGACTAATATTGCTTCTAAATAATGTTGCTAAAAAACGGTGAGGGCACCTGGCTGATTTAAATGCTTTTAACGCCTATTGCAACGATTTCTATTCAAGTCTATTCAGAACAATTTTAACCAAATTAAGTTTTTTGTGCTTTTTATTACTTATGATGTATTTCAAATTGACTTCCAAAGGTTTACAGAATCAACATGAAAAAAAAAAAAAAATTTTAATCATAATATTACACCGTATTATAACAAAAAAGACAAACAGTTAAAGGTGCACTATGTAACTTTTTTTGGAGTATGTTACCTTCTTGTTTCTATGGAGACGTTATTGCTCTGCCTGGAATGTTCCACGGTGTGACATTAAACAGCTTTACTTTACATTTATTGAATTACAAGTGGTTTTATAACTAAAAAATACCTAGAAAAACAAGCATTCTGACTGTGAGCGAGGTCACCTCTCCACAGATCTGACCTGTAACTTGGTTTGGTTTGGTCTCCAGACAAAGCATTAACATCTCCATGGAAAAAAAAAAAAAAAAAAAGTATTTGACTGACTCTCCACCAGAAAAGTTACACAATGCACCTGTAAATAAAATTAAATTTAAGTGATAATTTTTCACCTTTAACCATAATTGTCACAAAGAAAGTGCAATTTAGTAGCATTTAGGGGCAAAAGTGTTCAGGGTAGAATAAAGTCAATAGAACTAAAGATGTATCCATGTACCAAAGCTTGAGAACCACCTCCATTCATTTCTACTGTCTATGCACAAACATAGGCTGTCATCAGGATCAACTCCGTTCTGTTCTTTGTGTTCTGAAACTATCCCTGTTCTCTTACTTACCTACTTCCTTTGCATTCAAAACAGTATCTTTCAATGTATTTCTGAACCTATAAGCTCACTGAAACATTCAAGTATTGGGTGTTACTTTGTCTCATAATGGGACAGTATGGTGCAGATGCTAGCACACTGAATATAAGCTCCCGGGCAGTGCTTTTGTGTTCTTCAAACTGTTGTGGAAAGTGTCCAGTGTACAGGGGTGGAAAGAGCGCTGAAACATTGTACTCGAGTAAAAGTACATGGCAAAAAATACTGTGAATTATTAGAAAAAAACTTAGGAATATTTAGTCACAGATTACTGAATATGTGCAGTTTACAGAGGAGAATACCACCACATGAAAGAGTAACGTTAAAGGTGGACTATGTAACTTTTTTGGTTTGGTTCTTCAGATTTGTCATTACTCTGCCTGGAATGTTCCACAGTATGACATTAAACAGTGCTATCTTGCATTTATTCAATTGCAATTGGTCTTATAGCTCTAAAATACCTAGAAAAACAGACATTCTGACTGATCTGACCTGTCCCTTGGTCTTATTTGATCTCCGTGAAGATAGAAAGGTTTAATGCCATACTGTGAAACATTCCAGACAAAGCAATAACATCTCCATGGAGAAAAGCACTTGACGAAACCTCCATCAGAAAAGTTACACAATGCACATTAACTATCAATACTCAAAAACTGTACTGTGATTTTTGGTACATGTATTTGTCTCCCAACACTGTTCATTTATTTTGCCAAATTTGTTCTAAAGTAGAACAGACCCTCTACCAGAAAAGTTACACAGTGCACATTTAACAGGAGGACTGGTCAGTTAGGGTCAGCAGATTTGAGGAGAGGAGCAGTCCTCTGGACAAAAGTGTCCCACTGAGTCTTACAGCATCACAGTCAGTGTCCAGCAGGGGGAGCCAAGTGAACACAACAGGAAACCCCCCCAAAAAACTTTATTACAACAACTTGAGTATTTGTATTGGTAGTTTTCAGATTCTAGAATGTGAAGGTGTCATAATCCCAGGTGGGGGCAAGAGATAGATTATCCTCTTAATAACACTGTACTTTGCCATAAAAATCCAAAGGTAAATTCACAAATGCTGAACTTGATCATTTCTGTAGCTGACTAGACCCAAGAACTGTATTTCAACAAAAATCTGCATTATAACAATATTAATTTATCTGCCTCCATCTGTATTAAATCTTATTGGCCTATAGAATGTTGTGATGTCGTGTGAACAGATTTTCAGTTGCTTTCCACCCCTGCCAAATGTGTAAATTTGAGTTAACCAAAGGTGGAGTCCCGCTGGAGAGGTTGGGCACACAACACTGGTCTGTTATGAAGGACTGATTTTATGCAACAAAACTGTACAAGGAAGAGACATAAGTACAACAAATGCACTGGGACTGAGAGTATGGACTTTCCTAAACCGCCAAGTGCTGCTGATGTTTCGTTTTGTTCATTTGTTTGTTTGTTTGTCTGTTGGTGTCTCCATGGTGACTGAAAGGTGTTTAAACGACTTCTTCTCTTTTCTCAAAATGTGCATACACGAACTGTCAGTGCTCTGGTGTGCTCTCCTCCTGTTGTGGTTAATCCAGTGTATTAATGTTATTATTGCATTTATTTATAAGTCATATTATATGCACTGCCTGAATGTAGATGCATATATATAACGTTATATCTATCGAAACAGTTGGATTTATTGTCTCGATGTGCCTTTCCTGGCATGAAATAAACAAATCTTCACAGTCTACCTACGTCCGTGTGTATGTTCTGTTAGTAATTCTGACATATTTTGCATTCAGGGTATTGTTTAAAGGTAATAAAAATGATGCATCACTAGTCTGTATACAGCGCTTTTCCAGACACTCAAAATCACTTTACAACTGGTGCATTATTCATTCTCTCCACACTCACTCTTACTGTGGCCACAGGTGCCCCGGGACAAACTGATGGAGGCAAAGCTGCCAATCTGCACCCCTCCAACCACCACCAACACTTAAACGCCACACTACCACATTCATTCTAGGCACGGTGGATAATGTGTTTTGCCTAAGAACACAACAGTAGTTTTGTTGCACCTTATTTAAGTTCTAACCCTTCCCAACCCTCCTATATCTTTTGAAACATAACTAAATCAGGCTTTGATAATGAGATCAAAAAAATGTAGGCTATGTAACTCTTATAGTGGAGGGTCTACAATTATCTTGTCTCCATGGAGTGGTCATTTCTTTGCCAAGATTGCCCCACAATATGGCATTACAATTTATTCATTAATACCAATAACTTATTACTCATTTACACTATATATTTACCCTAGATAACTCTACGTCCTATCAGTCATATAATCTTGGCACTGTTCCTAACGACCTATTGTATATTGCTGAAATTTTTTTGTATTGTTTATTTCTATTTTATTAAATTTTTACTAGTACATATGCATTTATATAATTATGCCTTATTTGACACCAGTCTCTTGTTACTTTTGCTACTTATTTAGAATTTATTACCATTTATCTTTTTTCCTCTTGTTATTATATTATATTGTGATGTGTGAGCCACTGTGTCCAAGTAATCTCCCTTGTGGATCAATAAAGGCTAAGCCTAAATTATTTAACAGGGACAGTCGTAATCAACATTTCATAAATGTACCAGAATTAGACAGAGGCTGTTTTTCATCTACAGTCCCTGGACAGATGGTAAACATGGTCACCCTAAAAACACAACAATAAGAGTTATGCAAACAGTTCAATGTATTATGCTTAGAGATGTGCAAAAATATCCAAATATCCATAGCCTATATCATATCGTTTAATGTGATGATACAGTATTGATACTGGGGGCTGCTGTATCGATATATCACCACAAGTATTTATTGGTATATTTTGTTAAATTATTTTGTTACAACACAACAGTTTTGTTGCTTGTTTAGAGAAAGGAAAATTGTTTATATGGCATGTTTGACATATTCACTATTTTGATGATTAAAATGTGTTTCATATGAACAAGAAGCAGTTTCACAAAGACTTTTAGCATCACAGCCATGATTTAGCCATTATTTTTTTTATTGAACTGTATCGAATTGATTTGAAATATATCGTCTCGAAATGAAAGTGCACGAGATATATATCGTATCGTGGCCTATGTATCGAGGTATGTATCATATCTTCAGCTTCTTAACTATATCCAGCTCTAATTATGCTCATGAGTTTGAATCTCTTTGTTAATACCATGTTTAGCTTGTTAAAGCAGTCAATTAAAAATGTATAGTGTATGTGTGAAACACTTTGATGATAAATAATATATTTTTCATGTTAAAATGGTCAGAGATGCTTTCATCAGTGCGTGACCTCGGCGCAGATTCGGCCTCTGATTGGCTGAGCGTGCCCCATGCGTCTGCGGTAAACAAAACCAGCCGTACGTGCGCATGCGTACTGGAGCTAATGGAGGATAGGCTGGTACTGAGCTTACGGACTAAACTGTTCCCCTTTACGCTCTCTTTGCTCCTGTTTTCTCCCCCAATTTAGCTTCTTTACATCGCGGAGCGCACGTACCGAATAAGCCAGCGGACGGCGGTGAGTATATGCGCTTTAAAGTTGAGCAGGACTTAAATTTATTGCTGCAAAACGTGACCAGGACGGTGTTAGCACGAGTGTTAGCCGCTGATGCTACGGCTATACGGGTGCGTCTACTTCATGGAGGCTGCGTAACTCACTTATTATCACAATATTAGACATATGAACGCGCCTGCAGACAAGTTCTAGTTTTAAATGTGTGCTTTGCGTGTTGGTGTTGGTTAAATTTGCATGTCCACTTCTCCTTTACTTCTGTGATCGCTCATGTAGTTAACAAGAAACGCGTCGCTGCTCCTATGCTAATAACTGTATTATTATGCGTAATAGGCAAACGAATTTACATGCAGCGCTATTGAAACTGGACGATCTGTGCGGTGTTAACGCGGAAATTGCAGGAAATAGCCAGACCGCAACTTTCGAGACTTGTAATGTGTTGCTTTCGCTGTAGTTTTTGCAATTATGACACAAAATGGTGGCGTGGAGCGTGACCCGTAGCTTGTCAACTTTACACCTGCATACGCATGGTTACTGCAGAGTGATTATGTTGTATTTCTGTCGCTGTTAGAGGATCTGTCCGTGGATCTGTCCCGTGTGTCTCAGCTGGGCTAATGTTAGCAGTGTGGGCTAATTAAAGAGACGCGGCTCCAGCCAATCAGAGGCGCTCGTTCGGGCTCGTGCGCCTCTCATTGTGTTTCTGTGGGTCACTTTTTCCAACACATTTTGTACTGTGCACTTTGACTTGGATTTAATGAAGCACGGAACCTTTCTTGGAGAGGTCCGTTTCCTGCTTGTCTTAACGGGATGCTTTGTTTAACAGTTGCACAATCCGGCACTAAACTTATCTGTCTTAGATTTATTCAGTTATAGGTGATTTTATTGCTAGAAAATACTTGGAAAAAACATGCACAGAAATGGCATGCAACTTGTAATTTGGCCTGGTGGTGTCATACTGTGGAACATGACAGGAAAAAAAGAATCATCTCCATGGAGACAAGCAGATGGTGGACCCTCCACCAAAAAGTTACACAGTGCACCTTTATTTTAGACTGTAATAAGTAGAGCGATGTTGCATGTTATGTTGCTTTGTAGTGTTATGACTGTGAATGAGATTTGCTGGATATGGAGAAAGAGACGTTTAAGTGGCTATGGAATATTAACGGCTACATTTACATTATTAATAGTGTAGGCTGTCAAAATATATGTAATCACAAGCTATTTGAATACACTGAATATGAGAGATAATGCTCTATTCACCAGGGCATTTTTAAAGGGGAAAAAACCCATAATGATTACACTAGTTTTGTCAGAATAATAATAAAAAAAATAAAAAAATTAAACATGATTTAAATGTTAAAAAAACAGCTTAATACTCATTTGTTATTTATTTATAAAATAAATAAAAGGCTCTTTTAACCTTTTTATAAACCATATAATGCAATTTTTGACACAAAATACCATGTTTACAGTTGCGGCTTAGTCTTAATCAAAATCAGAACCAGTCTGTTTTCAATGCTAGTTTTAGTATTGATTTTATTGGTTTGTTTCTGAGTATTGGTGGTTTTCAGATTCTAGAATGTGATCATGTCTTACTCCCAGATGGAAGTCAAGAGCCAGATTTCCCTATTGATTACATTGTACTTTGACATGAAATATCCAAAAGGTAAATTCACAAATTTTGAACCTGATCACCATGACCATTAGTAACAAGACTCCAAAACTCACTATACAACAACAAATACAATTTTAGCAATATTAACTGTAGCTTAATTTAATTATCATTGGCCTATAGAATGTTGTGATGTCATCTGAAACTCTGCCATTGATTTTTGAGAACCCCACACCCCGTAGTACTGCAATAAATATTTTATTATGAGGTGGAATGGTGAATACGTTCTGAGGTTTGTGGAATAAGAATTATATTAATACAAATGTTAATCAAGTTTATATACATTATAGTACTTTTATTGACCTTAAAGGTCCATTGTGTAATTTTTCTGCTAGAGTGTCCGTCAAATGCTTTTTTCCATGGAGATATTCTGTCTGGAATGTATCACAGTAAGTTACAGGTCAGATCTGTGGAGAGGCAAACGGCTCACAGCTACAATGCCTAATTTTCTAAGTATTTCTGAGCTATTAAACCACCTGTAATTGAATAAATGTAAGGCAGACTTGTTTAATGTCACACTGTGGAACATTCCAGGAGAGCAATGACATATCCATAGAAACAAGCAGGTAACGGACCCCCAACCAAAAAGTTCCATAGCGCACCTTTAAAACTTTGAACATCATAATAATTAATCTTTCAGAAAAGTTCATAAATATTTAGATATTCTATGTATCAACATATATAATCAGTTTTATTTTCTTCTTCCATGTTGTGCACAGACTGCCCTTGTGTTTTGGCGTCGCGATGGAGGCGCCACCTCAAAATCATGGCTCCTCAAAGGGGATCATGACCTTTCACCCCACCATGGAGGAGTTCAAGAACTTCAACCGTTACATTGCATATATGGAGTCTCAGGGAGCCCACAAAGCCGGTCTGGCCAAAGTAAGTCCATACATTCAGTACAATCCAGATAAAACGGATATTTCAGTTGGTCATGTGGTTTATTTAGATGATTGGTCAATAGTGTCTTAGTCAACTAAGTTTTTTATTTAGATAAATGTGTAATGAGTTACCTGAAGATTTGGAAGTGAATCATGAGTTTAATCTGCATTTTTTTCTGTCATTTAAAAAGTTTCCAAGTACAACAACTGCATGGAAGTTGATGCAAAAACAAGTATTTATACAGGAAGAAACAACTAGGAAACTGTGAAAAATGAATGAAGAAAATGCAGATTAAATTGATGATTCACTCCAGATCTTCAGCTAACTCGCTATATACACTGCTGTTGCTGCTGTGGTTTTGATGGTTTTTTCCCATATAAATCCCTAAAATAGAAATAAAATAATTAGTTATTTTATACCAATTTTGGTTGATTAAGACATGATGGACTGCTCTACAGCTAAACAACTAGGGGACTACAGCCCTACGTGAATTTCTTTAGTTGACTGAAACTCTACTATTGTGTATTTCAAACCTCTCTCTAAACTCCTTCTCCAGATCGTGCCTCCTAAAGAGTGGAAGCCCAGGGCGTCCTATGAGAACATCGACGAGCTGGTGATACCTGCTCCCATCCAGCAGGTGGTGACGGGCCAATCGGGGCTCTTCACTCAGTACAACATCCAGAAGAAGGCCATGACTCTGCGCGAGTTCAGGAAGATGGCCAACAGTGACAAGTGAGAACTAAAGAAACAATGTGTTACATTCTACTATTGCTTTATTGCAGCTTGTTTATTGCACATTTTGAATATTTTTGAGGGATAATCCTGTTATTGTGTCAGTGGAAAGAATGTTTCAGTCTGACATTGAGAATCTAGCAGTATAACATCCCTTTATTAGTATGGTATGGTTTTTATTTGTACTGAGACAATGCACAACTATAACCAAGACAAAAGATGTTGGTGCCAGGTTTGTGGAAATACTGAAACTACAGATTCAATGCATAGACAACCTGACATGCACTTTTAAAACAGATATTACCTAGGCTCACATTGTTCAAATACCATTCTAAAAACAACATACTGCTAAACATTTAGGCACATGCACTCTTACCCTCTCCCCTTATTTATTAGCATCTGAATAAATGTTAAAGCTGAGTGGAACAAATTATTTTCTTTGTGTGAATCTAGGTTCTGTTGTCCAAACTACGACGACTTTGAAGATCTGGAGAGAAAGTACTGGAAGAACGTCACCTTTAACCCGCCCATTTATGGAGCAGATGTCAACGGATCGCTCTACGATCCTGTAAGATTATATACTTTTCTCTCAGTTGAAATCCTTCTATAATTTGTAGTCACTTACTGCCTAAAACTTTTTTTTACACTGTTTTTTAACTCAAGTGATTTCTGTGTTCTTAATCTTGTTTTAGTGTGTTTACTTGTATTTTACTCATATTTTTTACTTGTGCATTCTTATATTCCTTTTTATCTAAATTGTTAAGCACTTTGGGGCAGTAGTGTCTGTTTTTGAATGTGCTGTATAAATAAACCATGACCATGACCTTATTTCATTGCTTCTTCTCCTTTGTAGAACGTGAAGGAGTGGAACATCTGTAACTTGGGCACCATCCTGGACACGGTGGAGAGTGAGAGTGGCATCACCATAGAGGGGGTGAACACGCCGTACCTGTACTTCGGCATGTGGAAGACCACGTTTGCCTGGCACACGGAGGACATGGATCTATACAGCATCAACTACCTGCACTTCGGCGAGCCCAAGTCCTGGTGAGTCAAATGAGTCTTTATATCACACATAGATTACAGACAGAGGGTTAGCAGAGCAGAGTCTGCGGTGGGTGACGTCACTGTGGGATTAGTGGGTGATGTTGATTTCCTGTATGAAAACAATAACTCAGCTATATTGCTCAAATGTGTGTGCACTTATGCATTTCTTTTCTTTTTCTTTTTACATGTGTTTATTTATTTATTTATTACTGACAAACCCAAGGAGGTCAGGCTTCACACTCAACAAACTCCACTCTACACATCACATCTATACCCATTCATACTTAATCCAGATCCATAAGAAGACAAATAATAATAAAGTAATAAATAATACATCATAAATAATAAATAATAACAATAAAAACAACCCCCACCCCCCCAAAAAAACAAAAAACAACAAAATATGACCTTTTCTTTTTCGTTTCCTAAATGGACATTTTTTTCTATTTTATGTAATTATTCTGTTTGTTTGGTTTTTTTTACTTAATTTTGACTATTACCTTTTCTTTATATCAGGGGTCTCCAACCTACAACTTACATTTAGCTCACCAAAGGATTTCTGAATTATACATATTATACTGAATAACTCAAATTTGATGAATTACCTTTGTAAATGTGTTATTTTGAACTTTGTGTCCTAATACTTTGATAATGGTTCTATATTTAAAGACATTTAACTGTACAGCACTAAGGCTTACCCTCATGTCCACTCAATTTCCGGCGACCTCTAAAATGAGTGGATCTCTGACATTTTCAGGTTGTAGAGGTAGCTCACTGGACGCAAAAGGTTGGAGATCCCTGCTTTAGACAGTATTTCTTTGATAAAGTGGTAGTATTATATAAAAATAAACAAAACAAAAGCGTGTTTAAATTGGTTTAAATAAGAATCTGATTAATTTCACAGTTTAAAACATGGCAATAAAGGAAAGTAAGGCTGGGGATGATAACTTGTTCAACTTGGTAATGATCAAACGTTTAAATAATGTATTTGTGCTTTAATTAATTGCAGACTTAATTCTGTAATGCTTTTCCACAAAATAATTGTCAGTCTTTTCTTATATAATGCATTCAGTTTAGTAAAAGTGTGTGTTTTTGTTTGTAGGTACTGCATTCCTCCAGAGCACGGGAAACGGCTGGAGCGTTTGGCTAAAGGTACCAGGCCAGTTCTATGATGCCTCTGCTTTTCAATATACAAGTCTATGTTAAAATGTCTGTTTGTCTGGTTAGGGTTCTTTCCTGGCAGTTCCCAAAACTGTGAAGCCTTTTTGAGACACAAGATGACTCTTATCTCCCCCTCAATACTCAAGAAATATGGGATTCCATTTGAAAAGGTAAAAAGAGATAAGTTTGAACATTATAAACACTTATTAAGTATTACAATCTTAAAGTACTATGCACAATTGAGCTTTCTACCATGTTATAACCTTGTTGCCTTGAAGTTTTGGATGTCATTTATGCATGTTTGCGTAATTTAGCAATCTCTCCCAGGCCCTATTTGAACCCTCCTGATGGTTGACTTTAATATTCTGTCCAGTGCTCACCCCACAGGCCAACACATGCTCCCACATGACAATTCTCCATAAATATACAAAAGGAGGATACAAAATAATACACTACAACTTCACAAACCTGACGTGATATGCAGTCATTTCATTAGTGAAAAAGGATGCTGATTGTAATGTGATGATGCTCTGAAGGGGGCATCACTTAGTGCAGAGAGCAAAGGAAAGGAGAATGAGAGTGAAAGTTATTAAACATGTCACTATGTTGTTTTCCGTGAATATGGCATTTTCAAAACAATTAAAAGGTAACATGGTGATCTAAATGGTTTATCTGTCAAGGACAAGAACAGTCTGAACCAGAGAGTAAAAGTGTGTGGCAAAATCAGTGACGTTCAGAGGGAGGATTTGGCCTCTGTGTGGTGCTCCAAAAGACTAAGGCCACACTGAGCCAGCCTGACGACGTACTGCGCTCACAGTTTGTGCAAATGTCCTCTGGGAGGCAATATGTCACCCCACAACAAAAGACTAACCGCTACGCCAAATCTTTTATTCCTTCTGCCATAAAGCTTTTAAATGGAAAGTAAATTTGTTATTGTGTCCCTGATGCACTGAGGTTTGGATATATGGCATCTGTTTTTCTTTTAATTTTATTATTTATAGATTGTGCACGACCACAGATATGTGAACTGAATTGCCCTTTGGGATTAATAAAGTTGTTGATTGATTGATTCATTGATTGATTAAATAAACATTAGGTTAATCAAATCTGAAGGAAAATATGAATATAATTTTCTTTCTCCAGATAACCCAGGAGGCCGGTCAGTTTATGGTGACTTTTCCGTATTCGTATCACGCCGGATTCAATCATGGGTTTAACTGTGCCGAGTCCACCAACTTTGCCACAGAGCGATGGATCGAGTACGGCAAGCAGGCCATTTTGGTAAGTGTTGAACAAATATATTTTATAAGACACAATAGCAATCTTTAACTTTGAATTAGAAATAGATTCAGTTTATTGAAGGTGCTATACCTGATATTACAGTCTTAAATTAAATCATAGTTAATTTGAAACTGTTTGCAGTGGCCTTGGTGCATTCCAAGCATCCTCATTATTCATTGTATTGAGTTAATACATGCTTTTCACATTTCAGAGGTCAAAGTTCTGCCATCACTGCTAACAACAGTGCTAATGTTACTTCCTTGTTCCTGACTTTATAATTAGATCCATTATTTTAACCCTTACGGCTCCTTATACAATAGAATTCCAATTTTATTACATTAAAAAGGTACAGCCCCTTAACTTGAATCTCTTTTTTTTTTAGTGCTCATGCCGTAAAGACATGGTGAAGATCTCCATGGACGTGTTTGTGAGGAAGTACCAGCCGGAGCGGTATGCCCAGTGGTTGGCCGGGCGAGACGTGGTGCCCATCGACCACTCCAGACCCACCCCAGAGGCCAGGGAGTTCCTGGGGGAGAGCTCCAGCGAGGGCAGCTACTGTGGGGGAACTACGACGGGCTTTGAGGAGAACGGGGACTGTAAGAGGTCAGTCTGTTCTGGGTTTTGTCAACAGTAAATCAGATACTAATCGATACGAAAACTAATATTGAGACTAGATATTCATTTGAGGAGGTATTGATACTAAAAAAGTCACATTCACAGGACAGAAATGAACCTTTCCTGAATGTCTTTAGAATGATCTTGAGCTGTATCAGAACAAGTATACGAGCACATAGACTAGTATACATACATGGACACTATGGAACCTACCTAGACCACTGAGGGATTACAGAGTTAGTCTATTCCTTGGTATTGAAATCAAGTTTGACACCAGTCTGTTCTAATAACAATACGCTTGCCCACACTGACAGACTGCCTAAATTCATGTACTATCTAGTAGTGTATAGTAATCCTGATTCATTTCATTTGATCCATTTTCTATTTCTCAAACTTTAGTGCTACTCAAAGGATTGAATCGAAGAGACACAGGATTTGCCTTGACGTTCCGATGGGGGTGGTCCCCAGGGATGACAACCTGGATGAAGACGATCAGGAATACGGGAAAAGACCCAGACTGAGCCTCATCCCACCTAGAAACATCTCCCAGGACGCCAAGAGAAACAAAGGTACCTCTATTGAGTTAGTGCACAGTTTGGAGCCATATGGAGTCCGAGGAAGCAGTGGTGCACTTACAACACGCAAGTTCATGATTATTTCTAACATTAAATATTCATCAAGGAGTTCCCATCATGAATTTTTACTTTTTAACTGCTTGTAACACATTCACATTCTCAGTGGTGTTTTTTGCTGAAATCATTAAGACATGAACATTTTATTAATAAACCACCCAAAGCCCAGAAGAGCCACCAGGTTAAATGAGTTTTAAAACCAAAAAATGAAATCAACAAAACTGCTAACATTCAAGTTTAAGTATTCATAACACTCACTGACTTTAGAATTTGACTTTAGAAAATGTCTGTGTCATAGTTGGGAGCCACACATTTATTTTGCAACTAACAATTTTAACTAACAATTATTATTATTAATTAGTTGTTTTTTTTCTTGATTGTGAACTGCTTATATCAAGAAGTGTAGGTATGTGCACATCACTGGTGCTAGATTACTTCAGTGAACATAGAAAATGACACAATCCCTGCACACTCTTACTCCCAAACTGCATTTAATGAGGAAGATCCACAGATTGAAACATTGTCGCTCATTAAATGCAGTTTGGGAGTGTTGGCTTTTGTCACATTTTCTATTGCTAGCTGCTTATAAACATGTTGCCATTATTCACTCTCTCCTTACTCTGTGGTGGTAAAATACAATTGTTGCCACAGATGTCCTGGGGCAGTCTGACGGAAGCGATCTGTCAGTATGTAATCTCTGATCACCACCAATCACTTAGGCTATGTTCAGACTGCAGGGCTTAATGCTCAATATGGATTTTTTGTGTGAAATCCAATGTTTTTGCGAGGTCGTTTCCATTTAAATGTGACTTGTATGTGATCTCCAGTGTGAACATTAAACGGTCCAAAAATGTCCCACATGTGCACTGGAGACAACACGACATCAACCTCAGCGAGCGTGCTCTGTGTTTACGGAAGTTGTCCAAACATGGACGCAGCATTGAGCACCTGGAGATTTTAAAGTTCCTCTCGTACCGGAGCCAGAACATGAACAACTTACTTGTTTTAAGGAGGAGAGATTGAGAAGGAGAAGCACGAGGTTTTTGGCCGTGGTGTTTTGTGGGATAGTCCATTGAAAAGAACATGTGGATGGGGAGACGTAGACAAGAGTGGTGGGATAGCGACGTGCTTCGCTTCAGTGACACAGAGTTCATTAACAATTTTTGTATGACGAGAAGAACGTTTGTGTACATTTATCGCTTGTTGATAACGTGTAGGTCGGATGAATGCGCCTTGGCCATTCAGACTGAAGTCGCATGTCAAAAGATCAGATATGTATCGGTTTCAGGAGCACATATCCTGGGTCACATTTGAAAAAATCGGATCTGTGTGGTTCAGACTGTCATTAAAAGATCAGATACATGTCACATAGGGGCCAAAAAATCGGATTTGGGTCACTTCAGGCTGCAGTCTGAACATAGCCTTACTCACACCCTGCATTCATACTAGGCAATGTGAGTGAAGTGTGTTGCCTCAGGACACAATGACAGAACTCAGTCTGAGCAGGAATCCTCTGACCTTCAGGTTGGGGGACCTCTGCTCTAACCACTGAGCCACTGTCTCCCTAATATACTGTGTGTGCACCATATTGTGCCTGTAATGTTACTGTTAATGTTAATGTTACTTCTTTCTTTAATCTTTCTCTGCTCCAATCATTATGTCATTCCCAGGTCCCCCAAAGCTGGTCGTCACCCCCACCAAGCTCACCTTACTGGACCCCTTCCACCGAAGCTTCTCCCAAACCAACCCCTCCCAGCCCCCGCACTACGCCAGGACCCGCCCACCCTCCATCTCCTCCCAGAACGGGCACCTCTCTCTGTCTGCCGCACCCGTCACGCCCAAACGCAAAATGGGCGTGGCCAGTCTCCTCTTCCATCGCCCCCTCAGCCCCAAAGACATCCTGCAAGTCCACAACTACACCCAGGACATACAGAGGAGGCCCCCCACTCAGCTCCAAGTCCACAGCTACGCACGCGAGCACCAGCATCACCCACGGCAACTGCCAAATAAAGTGATCATTCAACCCCAATTGATAGTTAAACAGGAAACCGAAGAGGCTAATCCATCTAAAGTGAAGCTAGAGCCAGTGGAGGAGGTCCAGGTGAAGGCAGAGGAGCTGAATGAGAGCAGGACGTCTTCAGAGTCCAGCAGCCCCACGTCCTCTCCTGGGGTCAGTCCAGTCAAAGTGGATAAGAACAGGAGGAAGGTGGGTAGGGTTTGGATACACATACACATGGTTTTGGGGTGGTGCGATCATCCGGCATGCACACACTAATATTTCTTCTACCATTTAGATTAGGGATCCAGCTTTTTTAGTTCCAATACAGATCAATACTTCATCTTTCTATCTGCTGATATCTGATATTATCTGAGACCAATTTAAGGACTGGAAATGGCTTTTTTCCCCTCAAAACTCTGTTAAAGTGCCTATGACAGATTCGACTACTCATTCCACCCAAACACAGTTAAGATCAGTATATATTTAAGATTTAAGATGATTTTATTCCCCATATGACTAATTTGTAGGTTTAAATTTTACTTCCTGGCTCGAAATCATTAGCCTGATTTATCAGATGATTGACAGGAGAGATGCATTGTACATCAGGTTGAAGCATCAGTGCTAATTTCCACCTGTAGTCCCTGGACAGGTTCATTGACTGACTGTATTTAACTGACCTTGACTATCAACTGTTCTGGAGACCTGTAGCATGTTTTGGGTTGATGGGGGAAACCGGAGCACCGGAGGAAACCCATCCAGACACGGGAGAAACATGCAAACTCCACACAGAAAGACCCTGGGTGACCTGGGGATCGAACCCAGAACCTTTTTGCTGTGAGGCATGAGTGCTAGCCACTCAGCCACCGTGTCTACAAAATTTCACTTTGTAGAAACCGTCTGACCTCACAGTGTTAGAATTCGTTCGCTCAACAGAAGGTGGGTACTTTTTATCATTTAACCAGTCGCTGCTATTTGGTCGTCACGTATGTAATGCTCCGCTAACGGGGTTAACTGGTATATTAAGCTTTTCCCAAATCCCGTAGGAAGAAGGACAAAAACGTCTTTCCCCTTGATAAAATTCAACAAACATTCTCTTTGTTCCGGCTTTAAATCCTCGATCTCGGGAATCGTTGCCAACACAGAATGTCTGGCTCTTCACTGATTGGCTGGTGCCCGAACTCACACTTCAGGGGTTTTTGTGAACCGTCTAGTGTATTTTGAGTCCTGACATAGTTGCTGGAGAGAAATGAAATTGAGCGGTGGCACAAGGTGGCGCCAGCATGGCTAGGAAAGCATGACATCATGCTAGAAAAGTTTCTTCAACTTTCTTTCTTCTCAAATTGCTTCTTGATTTGTTTGAAACTATAATTTATATTTGCGACCCACCAAATTAAGTCAAAATTAGAGAAACGTAAATATCTGTCATACACACTTTAATATCTCCAATATGTTAACTGAATTTTGAGACAAAAAAATGCCATAAATATAAACACAAACAATTTGATCCATTGTGCAAGTAAGTACAGACGTTTTATTGTATTGTATTAATAAAAAGAGATGATGAGTTAATTTTGTAAAAGTACCTTATTCAAACAGACAAAAACAAACCCATATACAAAAGTAGAGACTTCTGAGGGCAATTACGATAACACTTAAGTACAATTAGAAGTGGCATTTTTGCAGTTTTAAAGAAGTTTAATTTTCATGCAACCTTCGCAAAATAACTAAACTATCATTAACTCCAGCTCATCCATTATCTTTCATATTCAAAGTGTCATTCAGATCAACCATGTATATAATAATAAATCATGTTAAAGGTGCATTGTGGAACTTTTCTGGTGGAGGGGCTGTGCTGTCACCTGCTTTTCTCCATGGGGATGTTATTGCTTTGTCATAAATGTTTCACAGTGTGGCTTTAAACCTTTTTATCATCATAGAGAGTACAACCACGTTACAGGTCAGATCTGTGGAGAGGCAACCTCGCTCACCATCAGAATACCTGTTTTTCTAGCAATTTTTGAGCGGTAAAACCACCTGTAATTGAATAAATGTAAAGTAGAACTGTTTAATGTCACACTGTGGAATTTTCAAAGCAGTTAACAGACCCTCAGCCTAAAAGTTACACAGTGCACCTTTTAATCTGCTTTATTTCTGTGAGAATTTCTGTAGGAAGAGCAACATTACAACACAGGGTCTATTCATCGGTCCGTACTCACTGTAACCTCCTTTACTGTATTTCTCTTTCTCTTTTGCATGCACTAAATGATCACAAGCATTTCACTGCGTACTGGTGGATCCCCTTTGCATGACTAACAATTTCACTGCTAAAAATCTGTCAAATAAAGCCCTTTCTTTGCTGTTATATAGAGACCGAAAGTAGGGATGTCACGATATCACCTTTTACAATTGAAGCATCACCATAATTCACGATTATTGGATGCCTTTAATGAACAGTGAAACCTTTATTAGTTCACTTGTATTCACATTGTCTTATCCAGATCACCAGTTTTCTGTTGTACGTTGTACTCTATGAAATGTAACTTTTTGAATGATAACGCAAAGTACTGTATGTAGTGTAGACAGACGTACTTTGTTGGAGTATAGATAGATGTTTTTTAAAAACCAAACATTTAGTTAAATATAAGCAAGTGAAAATAAAAACAATTTGACTTTGGAATTGGGCTTTGTGAAGGCGACATTTCTCTTCAGGGCTTGCCTCTCCCACCAGATGTAGCTTTATAATTATTATTATATTATTGTTATTCCTGGATGTCTCAAAATTTGCATCAGTGAAATATATTGTTCTAAAATGTACAGAATTTTTTTTATCAGGGTAGCCGCGAGGTTTTAAAAGTCTTAAAAAGGTCTTAAATTTCATGTTCCTAAATTAAGGCCTTAAATTATGTTGTCCAAGTCGTATTTTTTTCACAAAGGTCTTAAATTTCATTAGCCTATTTTTTCTGTTTACTCAACCAGGCTGCAGTGCAATGTTAAATGGAGGGAGGGAAAAAAAACAGCAATATGAAATAACGTAATGTGAATGAACATCTAATTTGGAGTATGCTCAAACAATTCTTTGGTTTTTGGCGCCGGCGGTAATGAGTAAACAATCAGTTCTGTCTACACTGCCCAAGACTCAAAACTCTGGTCAGATCTGCTCACATCACGTATGCGTTTACTTCACATACATCACCACCTAGAGCAGGGGTGTCAAACTCATTTTGGTCGGGGGGCCGTATCCAACCTACTTTGATCCCAAAGTGACTGGATCAGAAAACTCATGTCATATAAACCCCAAAAATAACAAGTTCAAATATTTGTGCAGAGAAACACAAATCTATTACAGAAATCTTTTTTAACTGATGAACTCTTTCTTTTACAAAATATTATAATATTATGAACAACCTGAAACTTTAAGAAAAATACAATTTCAACACAATGTTTTAACATGAACTTGTATGTAAATAGGATTAAGTAAATTTTTATTAAGTAAATTTGTCCAGGCCTGTTCGAAACCTCTTTACAGTTACTAGTACGAGCCTGTCCAAGCCTACATAACCCATGCTCCCTCACAACAATTTCCATCAATATACAAGCAAGATACAAAACAATATACTACAACTTCACAAACCTGATGCTACACACAGTAGTCTAATCAGCTCACAATTGTAATGAGACATCACTCTGAAGGAGGAGAAACTTAGAGCAAATGGTACGCAAACAAAACAAAACTGAACTATTGAAACATGTTAATAGGTTGTTTTTGTCGAATACAGCATTTTCAAAACAATAAAAGCTAACATGGTGATCTAAATATGTTACGTGTTAACAATTAATGCCCCACAGAAGCTGAATCTTGACATCCCTACCCAAAAGCACAGTGAAAAGTGACTGGCTGTACTGTGTTGTTCCCAAACAGAGCTGCCAGTCTCCGCTTGTGGACAGTGACATTGTAGTTGTGACAGACATCTTCACTGGCACAGCACCGCTTTGTGCTCAAACAGAGGTGGTCTCTCAGGATGTAAGTAGGATCATTAGAACACCAAATCATGAATAAGGAGATACACCAGTACATGCAGTGAATGTGTGTTGTGAGATGGCAGGCTTGTGTTGGTTTTTTTACAGTTGTCATCTCTTGTGTGTCCAGCAGGTGGCAGAGGAGGAGTCGTATTGTAAGTCTGTGGCAAAGAGGAGGCAGAGGCAGATGGGGCTGCCCTCTCTGCCCCCCTCCCACCCGCTCTTCACCGAGGTCATCCACGAGACCAGTACGTACCCTCTCACTTCAAATAGTTCACTATGTAACTTTTCAAATAGAGGGTTTGTTTTCTGTCTCTGTGGAGATGTTAATGCTCTGCTCAAATGTTCAGCAGAGCGTTAAACTTACATTGTGATTCAAGTGTTTTAATGTTCAGAAATACCCTGAAAAACATGCATGGGTCACTTCTTCACAGATTTGACCTGTAACAGAGTTTAACTGTGCAACTGTGGAACTTCTCCACATCTCCCCGGAGACAGAAGGTCGTGAACTCACAAATATCATGAGAATTCAACTTGCTGGTTATGTTACAGTGTACTGGCTTTTGATTGAAATAGGTTTGGTTCTACACTTACTGTCAATACATAAAAGTTACAGCTTTAGTATACCGTATTTTCCACACTATAGGGCGCTCTAGATTATAAGGCGCACTGTCATTAAATGGTCTATTTTCGAAGATTTTTCATAAATAAACTGCACCGGACTTTAAAGGAAACCCAACAGTGTGATGGGTGAGTGGTTTTGTTTGTTTGTGGCGTTCACGGTGACTCTGGGCTTTGTTCAGTTGTGGCGTGTAGGGAGGGTGCTGTCTGGGACCAACGGATTGTCGGCGTGTTCACAGTGACTCAGTTGTTCAGTTGTGTCTAGAAGTGGCACATTGCACTCGCTTTTTCAGTTCGTTCCTCTGTTCCGTTCATCGTCGGCGTGGAGTGATGAGTGTGTCTGTGGGTGTGTGTCGCTGCGCAGTCGCTGTCTGCTCTGTGTGTGTTTGTGTGTTCTGCGGGTGGTGCGTCTTTGTAGTTTACTGAAGTCGTGCTGGGACACCCGAGTGGATTTGTGCATAGGGTGCTCTGGATTGTGGGGCGTGCAGTCGTTTTTTGATGGGGTTGGAGGCTTAAGAGCACGTCTAATAACCCGGAAAATACGGTAACACTGCTTCTTATAAAATGGACATTAGTGACAGATTTGTTTTTTTCAGTATCTCTGGTTGAATTAAAGCTGAGTATTGCGATGTCAGATTGTACAACATACCCTATAATAAGTGTAGTAGTTTTACTTGACTCTCATTTAATATATTTAAGAGTTTCTTTGCTGTGTGTTTGTAGATCTGCCCAGAAAGACCAACGAGGAGTGGGCCCAGCCTCTGACAGATCTGTGGCAGCAGAGGCTTGAGAACCCCACAGCAGAGAGACAGTATAACCAGAGAATGAGCCAACAGCCCCCATACTGCTCCATCTGCCTGCTCTTCTACACGCACCACCAGGTACTACACACACCACCAAGTACCAGCAGAGGGCGCACACGCACAAGGGAAGAACTGCTCTGTCAGACTCATTTTCTGCTTAGAGGGGATTACCAGCTAAAATGTGCTTGTTCATCATTAGTGGAAGTTTTAAATATTTTTGATTAAAGGTGCAGTATGTAAGAACTGGTATTAAAGATGCACTGTGTAACTTTTTGTATGGAGATGTCATTGCTCTGCCTGGAATGTTCCAGAGTGTGACATTAAAGATGGATTTATAGCTCAAAAATACCTAGAAAAACAGACATTCTGACTGTGAGTGGAGATGATCTGACCTGTAACTTGGTCTGGTTTGATCTGTATGATGATATTAAAAGGTTTAATGCCATGCTAAAACATTCTAAGCAGAGCAATGACATGTTTATAGAAACAATCATTTGACAAACACTCCACCAGAAAAGTTACACAATCACCTTAACGTATCAAGTCTATTCCTTAGTATCAAAATCAAGTTAGACATTTTATTATCGTGACAACACCAGGGCAGACTAGCGTAATCTGACTGTCCTCTGTGTTGTTTCCAGTCTGAGTGTGGAGGGGACACGTCTTTAGTGACCAGAGGGAACTGTCAGTGGTCCAAACCTCTGATCCCTGAGATGTGCTTCAACACACAGTCTTCTAAAGGCACCGACAACTCTGAAGGCCAGCTGTCCAACCCCTACATCGCCGAGGATGGAACCAGCCGCCTTGTCACCTGTGGGCGCTGCTGTGTCCGTGTGCACACCAGTAAGACTGCGCTACTTCTACACTAACACTAGAAACACTGATAACATTTATTTTTCATGGTTTGAGATGGGGATGGGACAAGATCGCATGCCACGAAATCCACTAGTGGATGAAGTTTGTAAAAGTAGAGATACCGGGATAAAACATTACTCAAGTAAAAGTATCACATGAAAAAAATCTACTTAAGTAATAGTACTGAAGTACCTGTTTAAAAATGTACTTTAAGAGTAAGTATTTTGCTGAGATTTTTAGAATATTAAAGCATCAAATGTAGTGATTTAGATTAAAAAAGAAGCTTATTTTAAGTGATTCAGTTGAATTCTTAAAATGTCTATCTGTTTTTGTGTATTTGGTTTGCTCAAAGTTCGGACTTTAACTCAAATGAAATGTGCTAAAAATTGTTTCAGCCTTTTCAGCAGCTCTCAAACCATAAAGAAAGTACTTTTTGCTTTTCACTCTGGATCTAAAATGCAGTGTAGTAGAAAGTACAGATTCTTGCTTACAAATGTAGTGAAGTAAAATTCACTGTGCTTAAGTTAAGTGCAGATACCTAAAAATAATATTGTACTTTTACTTTTGTACTTCGTTACCTTCCACCACTGACGAAATCTCACAAGATCAAATTACCGTGAGAATGCTGTGAGATTTTCTGCTCTGTCTTTACATTCAGCATGCACATAAAAGAGCAGCTATAGCTAAAAGACTCCACCACAGAGACTTATTCTCACACATTCTGACAGAGACACATTGAACCCTGTCTCAGTTTCGTGGTGATAGGACGCAAATAATCAGTGTTGCAGTTAGCTGGTGTTTTGTCTCATCTCATGAAAATTCTGTCTAACCCGTAGAGGTTTGGGTTCAAAATGTGTGTCATCTTCAGATTAGACTGCACTACATATTGAGAAATGATTGTTGTCAACTAAACAAATCTAAACTGAAATCTCATTTACGGTTTTCTTTCCCTTACATAAGACATATTATGCAGCTCGACCTTTTAAGCATAGAATAATTGTTTTCCCCTTTTTATATTATAGTCTCGCTTTTTTTTTTTTTTTTTTCTTATTGAGTAGCTTTTATTATAGAAAACAAGCTGTAAAGGGAATTTATCTTGACAAGAACACATAAAAATTAGCTGCATGCCCTTTATATTAATATTGTAATTTAAAATGTCCAAAATACAACAAAATAATCCTCAGGTGTCATAGATTATAACTGTGTAGCAGAATAAAAGCAGAATCGGTCTTCCTTAAAGAGACACTTGTAAAAAACGTGATCCTGTTTTAGACACTTTTTCCCTGTTTTCAGGCTGTTACGGCGTTTGTGAAGATGACGAAGACTTAAACGACTGGCAGTGTGCTCGCTGTAAGGCCAAAGCCATATCTCAGGTAAACAAGTGATTCCTTTCAAAATGATTTCACTCACAATCAGCAGAAATATGACATTATTTTTATTTTTTTATTTTTTTTATTTATTCATTTTTTTTAATTGCACAAGTTTTTATTTTTATTTATTTTATTTATTTATTTTTTTTTACTTTTTTTCTCAATTGTCTTCCTGTTACACAGATAGAGCAGTGGCCTTGTATTAATGACTCGCTTCCTATCACAGCTACACAAAGGATGTCCATATTGTCCGTATTTATCATTTTCTACCTTTTGGCATTGACTTTTTTGATTGTTTTTGTATTAAACGAAGGAAAGTAGTCATTTATATTCTCCCCTATCAGACTTACCCCACCACTGGGTTATCTGACAGTCTGGGCTGGTCCTTGGTGGAGAGGGGTCTTCCTTCTCATAGCATTGTTTGGTCACAGTGTTTTTTCCTCACCTCGACCGTCAAATGCAAGTCTGTGTGTTTCCGTTGCTTTGAGAGCTCACCTCAGCTCTGAACAATGGGTCGAAGGGAAACTCGAAGGAATGTAGCGCATTCTTGGCTCCTGCACCTGCCAGCACCTGCCAGCACCTGCTAGTACCAGCGGGCAGCAACCAGGGAGTTTAGTTCTAGAAATAACTTATGCTGTTTTACGATTTGTTGTGTTTTGAATAGTTTACATATTATAAAGATTACACTGTGGTGAGACTTGAGGGAAATAAAAAAAAAAAAGTAAGATTTTTTATTTTTTTTAATGGAGAAATCATTAAGAAGCATTGCAAAAGCCTTGGATATTAATTTTATTGAGTATGTGACTGTTGGAAATGAAATGTAAAATGTAATAATGATCTATTATCTTAATATCCAAAGTAGGTGGATAGTAGACAGGTGATAGAAAAGGTCACACCTCCTTATCATTGGCCAATCTGTCTGACCTCTGAAGCTAAGCACATCTCAGTCTGGTTGGTACTTCAATGACTTTGAGACCAAGGCAAGGCATGTTTATTTGTACGCAAAGTAAATTCTAAGTGCTTTACAGAATAGAACATTAGAAGAAGAAGAAGGACATTAAAATCTCAATACAAACAAATGAAAACATAAATAATCATCATAACATTAACATTAAAAGAGCAGAAGAAGAGGTGGAAGAGTGCAGAATAAAAAGCTTTCAGAACAGAAACGGAATCACTGGCGTCTCTGTTGGGCAGTAGTGGCTCTTGTGCAGACTGTGGTTGTGTTCTTAGGCAACACACTTCATCACCTAATATGAATGTGGTGTTTGTGTGATGGTTTGGCAGTGGTCGGATAGTTTTCATAGTCGTCTCACTTCTGTCAGTCTGTCCCAGGGCAGCTGTGGCTACAATAGTTGTTTATCACTTTCAGTGTGAGGTGAATGATCTGTCGACGAGACTGTAACGCAACTTTGAGCTTCTAGAAAAACGGTTTGTAAAACTAATGCATTATTCGTTAAGTTCTTTTTAATTTTGCTCTGTTAAAGGTGCCAGGTGTCACTGCGATGTCTGGAATGTTCCACAGTATGACACTAAACAGCTGTGCCTTACATTTATTGGATTACAGGTGCTTTTACAGCTCAAAAGTACCTGGAGAAACAGACATTCTGACTGTGAGCAGGGTCACCTAACCTGATCTATAAGTTGGTCAAGTTAGACCAAGTTAGAGGACAGACCTATAACTTGGTCTGGTTTGTTCTCCATGAAGATAGAAAGGTTTAATGCCATACTGTGCCAGACAAAACAGTAACATCTTCATGGAGAAAAGCATTTGACGGAACCTCCACCAGAAAAGTTACACAATGAACCTGGAAAACGAAAACTGTCATTTCTATAAGTTCTACAACTGTCCAAAGTGAAATAAAAAGCATACGTGCCTAAGTGTGTGTTACATAAGAGGCTCAGGTGCCTCTCCACCTGGTTTGGGGCCAAACGGCTGAGTGTGTATTTTCTTGCTGTTTCTCTGCGCTCGGTTGGAGCTTTGACGTACTGGCCCCTCCTCCCTCCTGACAGCTGCTGTGCCAGGTGTCCACCGCTGTCTAAGACCGCTTCCCCTCTCACCATTACACTCTTCACACGCCAAAGACAAAAATCTATTCCCTAAAGCGAAGTAAAGGAACTGTGTGTTTATTCAGGTGTGCTGATGCTGCTATGTGTGTTTAAAGGGCTCATATTACACTATTTTCTGATTTTCTGTTGTTTCCTCATCACAGACATAACTGGAGTTGGTGTTTTGTTTTAGTCACACATGTTTATGACAGAAAGCCTGCATATTTAAGTTGCGTTTTACTCTCAAACGGAAAACACTCTACCTTCCACCATGCAATGTCATGTGGCAATACAGGAAGTGCTCCACTGAGAATCATTTGGATCATTTCAGCCCTGGAATTACCTCTACAACAAAAGGTAAAATGTAGCTGTTAACATAAAACTACCTCTTCATGACATCACAAGGTGGAACAGAGGAAAAATTCCAGGGCCGAAATGTGTTCCCAGTCCGACCCTGCGTGTAACTGTGTGTGTTTTCTGTATTTTCTGTAGGACTGCTGTCTGTGTTCACTCAGAGGAGGAGCGCTGCAGAGGGCCAACAATGACAAGTAAGTGTTTTGATATATAAAAATACAGTAGGAATGGTCTCTATAATGATGTGGGGAGCCTCATCTGCAGCTCAGTGAGGGAATTTTGGAGATTCGGTGCTTTCACATGAGGCATGAACTTCCCATATACTGAGAATAAGAAAACTTGCATGTGTCCTCTATCTTCAGTATAAAAGTGCACTGTGTAATGTCTAAGGTGGAGGATTTATGTGCATAGAATGTTCGAAGCTAGGGTATTAAAACATATCTCCTTTGCACTTGCTGAATTACAATCGTTTTATAGCTCAAAAATACTTTAAAAGACCTGATTTCTCACCATGTGCTGGCTTGCTTCTCCATACATTTGACTATTAACCTGTAGAATAATCAAAACAGTGACAAGCAGATGACGGACACTTCACCAGAAAAGTTACACAGTGCACCTTTTAAGTCAGTGGCAACCAAGATACAGTTGCATTTGTAATATGATAGAGCAGGCTACATACAGTTCCTTCATGTATTTTTTGGACTATAAGTGGCACTTTTTATCATGGTTTGGGTACTTCCTGAGACTTAAACTCCGGTGAGACTTATATATTAACATTTTCAGACTGACAACCGCGAGAGGCAGTTTTCTGCACATGTCTCCTGCAAAAAGAGCCTCTGTCCTGCTGCAAGTAGTGAAATATGCAGCTGAAAAATGTAATCACACAGCAGAAAGAAAAGTTTGGAGTGAGTGAGAAACTTGTGAGGGATTGGCAGAAAGCAGGAATGGAGAACACAGCTTCACGATAACCGGGAGTGTGCACCATGGAACTTTCCTGAAGTCACTGGATGACAAAGTATGGACTTCAGTGACAACCGAAGTTGTGCGGAGTTGCTCAGAAGTGACAGAGTATGAAGAATTCAATTAATTCAATGGATTTAGTGATTTGGCGTGAGATGGAGAGTTTGGTAAACTTACGTTCTTTTGTTTATGCTATAATTATCTGAAGAATTATTTAAATGTGATGTTAACATATTCAGTCTGTTCTCTGTTTTATTGTTATTACTAGAACTTGCCTTTCAAGATGAAATGTTAGTTCCTGGTCCCTGATTTTATAAAATAAATTTCCCCCCAAAAGTGCCACTTATAGTCCGGAGCGAGTTATAGTCTGAAAAATACGGTATTTAATGTATTTCTACAAAATCTTCATGTTTTTCATTGTTGCTGTATCATTCACTGCAGTACTGGGCAAATATGAGACTTGCCTGCATTCATTCATTCATTCATTATTTAATTTGAAACAGAAGGAAAACAGATAGTGTGAGTTAGATGAAGTTTTGTGAGAGACAGTTTCAAAAATGTTACTTTAGTTTACCAAGAATTTCTTTAGTACATTCTTATCTTATGCCGCTGTGTTTAATGACCTTGTACAATAACATCATAAAATATAATAACACTTCATAAAAGCAATACAACATGAACTCTAGGTAAATTATGAGACACAGTCAAAACAGTGTTGAGTTATGGAATGTTAATTATTAAGCTCTACAGATCATGGTTTGGCATTAAAAAAAATCACACTAGTACAAGGTAGATGGATGGCATGGATGGTTATTATGTTATGTCAGGAATGTTTCACAGTGTGGCATCGTCACGGAGACCAAACCAGACCAAGTTACAGGTCAGATCTGTGGAGATGCAACATCTCTCACAGTCAGAATGTCTGTTTTTCTAGGTATTTGTGAGCTATAAAACCACCTGTAGTTGAATAAATGTAAAGTAAAGCTGTTTAATGTCACACTGTGGAACTATCCAGCCAGAGCAATGACATGTCCAAAGAAACAAGCAGGTGACGGACCCCGAAGCAAGAAGTTATATAGTGCACATTTAAAGAAATATTGAGCCCAAAAAATTTTGTGTAACTTTTATCTATGGATCAGTCAGTTGATATTGTTATTGTGTCAAGCTACCAAGAATAAATGACACTAGTGTTTTCAAAAGTATCTGAAATCAGATACAAAACTAGATACTCATTTGAACAATTATAGACCAAAGTCACATTCACAGGACAGAAATGAACCTTTCCTGAATAGCTTTAAGGCTGAATTATAGTTCTGCATCGACTCGAAACACGCTGCCTTGTCACCGTCTTTTCTGATTTATGGATCTGTGTTGAGGTGTACGCGCCGCAAAGTAATTTACCTCCACAACGCTAGGGTGCACTGAGTCGTGACATCATATGAACTCACTGGTGGAGTGTTTACCTTCCGGTTACTACATTCGGCCGTGTCCACACCCAGATTTTTGCTGATCTCCCTCCATGTATTTCTTGACATTTGGCTGTCTTTGTGGCCTTTGAAATTGTAGAGGCGATTGTATTTCCTCACCCCTTTCGATCAGACATTCTTAGTTGATCCATCTTCTTCAGAGTGAGATTTTAAAAATGGTGTTCGTGAAGCGGGAAATTGGAGTACCGGAAATGTATGTAGAGCGGTGGTAGAGGGGATCAAACACAGCCCTTATTGTCTGCGTCGCTTCCTCTTGTAGTTAAAAAATTTCTGAGGTGCACATCAGTCGACGCAGACAGTCTGCGGAGGGGGTTAAAGGTGACGCAGATCATTTGATGCACAACCATAAATAGGGCTTCAGAATGATCTGGAGCTGTATCAGAACAAGTAAAAGAGCACATAGACTAGTGTACACACATGGACCAAGATGGAACTTACCTGGACCACTGAGGATTACACAAAAACTGTATAAAACCACATGAGAATAGAAAAGAAAGTACTATGATTTCAACATTTTATTGTTCAAAGAAAGAGTGCTTTTTTATTATCATCGTGGTATACGAATCTGTATTGAGCATCAAGTCTGAAATGTTTTGTGACAGCACTAGCCTGTATCCTATTTTGAATCATGCTTAGAGAACATGTTTAAAAATGTGAATGAACACCCACCTTATTTCCTTCTCTCATTAATATTGAACCATGACAGAGTATACATACTAGTAATGTTGTTTCCTCATCACAAACAAACCTGGAGTTATGTTTTGTTTCATTCGCACACATTTAACACACAAACCCTGCACATTTAGGCCGAGTTCATCTCTCATACAGAAAATGCTTAAAGTCCTTCACATTCACTAAAATCATTTGGATTATTTCAAGCCTGGAATTGCCAATCTCTACTGAGCAAAAGTTTAAAGGTAGCTGTCAACTTGAAAACTACCGCTTCATGACATCACAGGGTGGAACAGAGCATTTTGATCTTTGGAGATGTAGACAGACTAATAATAACGCAGCATTACACAGACATGTTTGAATAAAACAAAACACAACTCCAGATATGTTTTTGAGGAGATAACAGCTTTATAACATGTCTTAAATCCCACAAGAATCTATTTTGCGTAATATATTTTGTCATATCATAAAAGTGCACTCGAAAACACACTGAACTGCTTAGAGAGCCGATTCTTCCGCTCTGGCTTCCTCTCCCTGCTGTTCATTGAGCCAGTGAATCATTGATGGTGTCTCTGCCTGGTTCTTTTAAAGGTAAAATCCATGTAGCGAGTCCCACCCCTGGAGCTAAACTCTACATCCAGGCTATTAGCGCACAGTCCCCACTCTGCTTCTCTTTGATCGGGCTGAATCAAACGGGAATGGCCCACAGCTATGGCCATTTCATTGTGTACACCATTTGCTACTGAGAATGTGCTGCTTTGTTACCGTTAAGACATGTACTCTTTGTTGTTGTAGTCAGATGCTTGCTCAAGTTAAAGGTGCATTGTGTAACTTTTCTGCTGGAGGGTTCGTCAGATGCTTATTAAATTATTGCTTTGTCCGGAAAGTTTTACAGTATGGCACTATTACAGGCTGGATCTGTGGTGAAGCGACCCCAATTACACTAAAATATCTGTTTCTCTAGATATTTTTACACTATAAAACCACCTGCAATTGAATAAATGTAAACTAGAGCTGTTTAATGTCTGTAATGACTGTGGAACATTCAAGGCAGAGCAATGACATCTCCATATAAACAAGCAGGTGACGGACCTCGAAGCAAAAAGTTACACATTGCTGTTTACCCACCTGCATACCTGGAGCTGTGTTTTGTTTCATTTGCACATGTTTGAGTAACCATTTATTATGAGACTGTCTACTTCTCCAAAGCTCAGAATCCTCTGTTCCACCTTGTGATGTCATGAAGCAGTAGTTTTCAAGTTAAACCATAATCCTTTTTCCTTTTAGATTAGTAGAGATTGGTAATTCCAGATCTGAAATGAGCCAAATGATTCTAGTGGAGGTGTATGGAGTTTAAAAACACAGTGGAGCACTTGTATTACCATATGACATCACAAGGTGGAACAGAGTGTTTTCTGTTAGAGAGAAAAAGTGAATATGCAGGGTTTGCGTGTTATAACATCATGTTGCGTGTTATCAGAAAATGGCATAGTGTGGGCTCTTTCAAGGTTAGCGAAGGCCATAAAGCTGCAGTATCAGGGAGGTCAGTTTTCTGTTATTGTAAACTAGTAACTATGTAATAAAAAGGCTATTCTCATGAGCGATTTATATTTTAATTTATGGCCTTTATCTTGTTTGTATTTGATAAGCACGTCACGTCTATAAATTATAATAGCGCCATTTTATCCTCAATGAGCCACTCATTCATTCACACACTGCTGTACACAGAGACTCGGGGTGAGTGTATTGCCATAGGACACAACAACATTAAAGATTCATTTGTTTTTAAAGGTTAACTCATGAAATAGGCTATTATTATTGTGCAGATTTTTTTGGTGTCACAATTGTCATGGCCAAAATAACTGTGATTAACAATTATATCACAATAATTCTGAAAGTTGCTGACAGTGGATGTGATGGAAATGAATAATGATAATTTGAATATTATCAGTAGGTATTATCAGTAGTAGTAAACTCCTGCCTTTATCTCAGACGTGATGAAGTCATACACCTTCCCTCCACCTGCCCGTAGCCTGAGGTCTACCAGCCAAAACTTGCTGATCGTCCCAAGCTTTAAAACGAGAGGAGACAGATCTCCCCTAAACTCTGGAACGAGCTGCCTCCTCACCTACGCTCTCTAGACTGTGTAGATGCGTTTAAAAAGCAATTAAATTTGTTCCTCTTTGAACAAGCGTTCTCGCCCTCTTTAAGGTTTAAGGCTGCTCTGACTGATTTTATTCTAAATGTATCTTTGTGACCTGTCTGTGAAATGTGCTATATAAACTAAACAACTAAACAACTCTTGTAGTCTTGTACTTTGTTAGTGAAAGTGAAAACAATAATGATCTAGTAGAAAACATCATGTATAAGTATCTTCTGTCTATTTATGGTGATTATCTTTGTTGGCGATTATCACGATTATACAAAATTACCACATTTACATGAGAACTTTAATTCCGAATAAAAACTATTTAATTTAGAATTAAAATGAATTCTGCTTTAAAAAGACCATGTAAACACTTAATTCCTAATGAAAATTATTGTTCGTACTTAAATTAATGTATTCCTTGATTATGTAAATATTTATTCTTCTTAAAAATAATTGTGGCCGTTCAGTTCATGCTCGTTGTGTCGTCCTTCTGAAGCGATCCGGACAATCCGGCTCCACCAGTCCTCTCTTTGGACTTTCATCTGCGTCTCTTTGGATTTGTGAGCGGGATGTGGGAGTGGGCTGAGGTAGAGCAGCCTCACACTCAGTTTGTCTTCTTCCTCCTTCTCCGACACTCTTCCCTTCTCCTCCTCAGCTGACAGACATAAAGCATAATGAGAGAATTCTCCAGCTGCTGCACAATTATCACTGGAATGACTGAGAAAAAAGTTTGGATCATGTTTGTGTCTGTGGCGTAACAACAAACCGAGATGACAGAAAAGCCGGTAGCAGCTGAAGTGTGTGTTTTCTTCCGGTCAACTTAAATACATTTGTGTCTCTGTCCAATCAGAATCCTTCCCCTAGATGCTGAGCGCAATTTAAAAAAGTAATTTAATGAGTTTTCCATGTAAACCTCAATTTGGAATTATTATTTCCATGCCAACTCAAAGGAGAATATTTTAATTCAGAAATATTTAATACAGAACAATTATTTTGGAATTAAAAAACATCATGTAAACTTGGCCACTGTCCCACAAATGATTATTGTGCACCCACTGTATCATGATAAAAGATAACTGTTTATAGCCCCATCCCTCGTCTGTGGTCCTGACTGGAGTTTGTGTGTTCACAGGTGGGTGCATGTGCTGTGTGCCATCACTGTCCTCGAGGCGCGCTTCGTCAACGTCACCCAGAGGAGACCCATCGACCTGTCCGCCATCCCCCTCTCTCGCTTCAGACTGGTATGCTCCAAACACCACACTACACTACACATTCACTCTCACCCCTTTTTTTTTTTTTTTTTTTTAATCGTATTGATCACAGGCTCCTGAAAATGTGTTGTTTAAATCCATTTTGTATATTTTTTTTTGTGTTGACTGACTCTCTTAAAACTTTTTTGACAGTGTTTGATAATCTATGCATTGTGTCACTAGGGTAAATGACAAATAATCTGCCAAAAGAGATACATGTAGATCACCCCAAAGTAGCAATATAATATTTTGGTGTGTAAATGTCACTTATTTCCTCTACTGAAAAATAGGCACTGATAACAGATTTGAAATGGTTCCTTCTATAAGTTTATGACAACACTATAAGGATAATCAAGTATAATTCGTTTTTCTCATTTTTTTGCTCAGATTTTTAGACTGTGGGGATGAAAACTTGAATATGAGGGTACCATAGTCTCCTTTTTTAATTTGAAACGCTGTATTATGGTTTGGATTCCATGGCAGAGCGCAGTGAGTGAAATGAAATAGTCACTGAGCGGCTAACTGTGCCATTTGCTTGTGCTGCTGTTTCATATTCCAAAATAGGGTTGGGCTATATGGTTAAAAATAGAATTGTGATCTCAATCCTGAGCCGGTGTCAGCTTTTTTGTTAAAACTGTTGTGTCATGATCCACACGTTTTCTCTTGAATGTATAAAAATATTAGATACATCATTGTTTTTGTTTTGTTTTTAAAATTTTTTACTACTAGTAATTCATAATTAAAGGTGCAGTGTGTAACTTTTCTGGTGGAGGGTTCGTTCATTTCATGTTATTGTTTTGCCTGGACTGTGCCACAGTGTGGTATTAGACTTGTCTTTTTCAATAAAAACAAGCATTTGATGCCACAAAGCTAAGTTACAGTCCAGATCTATGGAGAGGTGAGCTTAGTTGCATTAAGAAAGTATGTTTTTAAATTTATTTTCTGAGCAATAAAAACAACTTTAATTGAATGAATGCAAGATGGATATGTTTAAATGTGTACTGTGGAATAGTCCAGGCTAACCAGACCCTCCCCATGAAAGTTCCACAGTGCACCTTTAATTAATTATTGTTAATAGTAACACACAGTAAAGAAAAAAAAAATAAAAAATGAATTATGTAGCTAATATTTGCGCATTCAAGAGAAAACTTGTGGATCATGATATGAATATGGTCAATAAACGTTTGAATACTTGATTACTGATTGGGATTACAATATCAGAAGTAAACTAAAGTGCAGGGTTAGGAGGTTTTATAAATAACACAAGAGCACAGGATGTGAAACTGGATACAAGGACTCCAGTTGCAGCTTATTCTACACAGTAATGCATTCAACATAATAAAGTGTAGATTTATCTCTAGTATCCTTCTACTTTTGCCAGTTGATATTTTGCAGTGACTTCACAATAGGGGTGTTCTACATGTATCTACCATGGCGACACAACGCACACATTAGCAAACACAGCCCATTTTCAGGAGCATGCGATCAATACGTCATCATGATCCTGTTTCGGTGTTTGATTTTTGAGTGACTAAATGAAAAACCGTTGATCTTATCAAAGATCAAACTATCTTATGATGAAATTTGATGTTTGACAGGCTTGTTTAACAGCACAAACCAGCTCACCTGTTTTAGTTCCAGATAAGTCAACTCCTTCTGGTCAGATGGTGTTAAAACAAAACTCACATTAAAGTTTAATTTGAGTAACAGAGCTTCAGACAGAGCAGTGCTTTTAGTTGGCATCACAACCCCAGGGAATGTTGATGACGTTGGCCGCAAAGTGTCAATAAAGACTGAAAACCAATTCTTACTAAGTTTATTTATTTATTTATTTATTTTATTTAGTTAGTTAGTTAGTTATCAGTTACACAGAGACATAACAAAGAACAGAAAAAGGCCAAATTAAAAGTGTTCAGACTTGGTTTTCCTTCTCTCCATTCTCAAAACTGAACTGTGTAAATATTTTTATTGTAAACATTGTTCAAGGTCACTTCAGGTGATAAGTCAGAGACAGTATGTGGGAAAGAACAACCTGCCATCATATATTTTTTCCTCTCAAGTTGTTTTTCTTGCTTACTCATTTGACATCGAGGCGTTTGCATTCATTTTCACGCCAACACCCTTCCAACAAACAGGACTTCAGCCTCTGCGGCGCTAACTCGGTTTCACTTCTCAACGTGGTGTTACTAAAACTGCATTTTTTGTTGGTTTTGGTAAAAGGACATATTGTGCTTTCGTCTGCCACAGGATTGTGAAAAGTATCAAAAAAGAAGACTGAAAATCTATACTGAAACTAATGTTGAAACTAGATACTCATTTGAGCAGGTGTTCATACTACTAGAAGTCCCATTTATACGACAGAAATGAATTTTCCTGAACAGCTTTAGAATGATGATGAGCTGTATCAGAAGTAGAAGAGCACATAGACTAGTATACACTCATGGACCACTCTGGAATATAAGGCCACATGGGAATTTAAAAGAAAGTACTATTATTACCGTATTTTCCTGGCTATTAGGCGCACTGGATTATAAAGTGCACTGTCATTAAATGGTCTATTTTCAAACTTTCTTCACAAATAAATCACACTGGACTTTAAAGGAAACACAACAGTGTGATAGGTGAGTGGTTTTGTTTGTTTGTGGTGTTCACGGTGACTCTGGGCTTTGTTCAGTTGTGGTGTGTAGGGAGGGTGTGTCTGGGACCAACGGATTGTCGGCGTGTTCGTAGTGACTCAGTTGTTCAGTTGTGTCTAGAAGTGGCACATTGCACTCGCTTTTTCGGTTCGTTCCTCTGTTCCGTTCCTCGTCGGTGTGGAGTGATGAGTGTGTCTGTGGGTGTGTTTCTCTGTGTGGTCGCTGTTTGCTCCGTGTGTGTTTGTGTGTTCTGTGGGTGGTGCGGCTTTGTAGTTTACCGAAGTCGTGCTGGGACACCTGAGTGGATTCGTGTATAGGGTGCTCTGGATTGTGGGGCGCGGCCGTCTTTTGATGCTGTCAGAGGCTTAAGAGCGCGTCTAATAGCCCGGAAAATACGGTACCTGGTCCCCGAAGGGTTGAGGGTTTTGTATTCACCCTGTGTGTCTGTGTGTGTCTGTCCACCCGCGATAATTACGCCATTTATGGACTGATTGTCACCAAATTTGGTACGTGGGTCAAGCCCTCGTGCCCGATGCCGAAAAAAAAAAAAAACTTTGGTAACGATCCGAGGTCATTTGAGGTCACATGGGTCAATTGAAAGGTCATGTCATTATAAAGGATCGGCAATTTCGGCAATTTCTGAACCATCTGCGGCCTAAAATATTCACCCAATCATCACACAGGTTGGCACACTGGATGTTACAGGTTGAAACCGGTCAAGGTCACTTGAAGGTCAGATGTGTGTTTTTAGTCAGAACTCCGTGAAGGATCGAGCTCGAGCAATGGGAGGGTCTCAAAATCTCAAAAGAAAGTAAACACAGACATTCTCATGTGTGACCAATATCACACAAATGTTCATGGGCCTGTACACATACACACATTACATTGTGGATATAATGATCATGTAATATGGGCTGGGCTCCTCATAAGCTGCTTCTGTGCTGATGAACTGACCCACCGACGCCTCATGGGGACCAGGTTACTATCTCTGATTGAGTTTATTGTTGAAAATCACATTCTTTTGTATAAAGAGGTGTCCAAACTATGGCCCAGGGTTTAAATGCGGCCCTCAGACCAGTTTTTTTGTTTTTCTTCTCAATTGTCCCAAATGATCATAGGCAGTACTTTTTGCTGCAATGTAATAGTTCAATATTTCTTCAATTATGACCTCAATAAAATCACATTGTGTTGTTATACAGACCTAAACGATGTGTTCCAAGGGTTTTTATAGGCGCAGTGGCTCTGTCAAACTTGGAAAATGCGTGTTTCCGTATGTGGCCCTCTGTGAAAAAAGCTTGGACAACCCTGGTCTAACGAGTGTTTTTTTAATTGTCATTGTGGTATTGGAAACAGTATTAAGTAACACTGATTTCCGTGCCCAATAACGTTACGTTTTAGGAGCAGATTCCCAGCCGCCCTTTTCTTGCTTATGTTCATGTCTATAAACGTCATCACAATGAAGTGCCGCATGCTTCAGCTCCTCTTGGATATATGCAGATCGTGCTTTATTTATATATTTTTTTATTTGTAACGAAATGGCTACTCAACACTGCCAAACTTGTATCACCAATTAACAAAATACAATTAGACAAAGTATGTACAGAGCAGGGGGCATGTACTGGTAGTTTATAGGGGTTCATTCAAGCATCTTAAATACAGAAGAAAAAAAATGACTCAAACTTGCACAAACCAAAAAAAACAATGGGAGAAAAGCATTAAAAAAGTCGGACAGTTTTCGAGTGCCACCTGTGTTGACAAGCTGAAAGTCTAATCAACACTGACAGTTAGTATTCAAATAAGGTAACAGTTCTGCCTTCATGCTCAGGTGAAGACATTTGACTAGTATTGATTCAGAACAGGTTATTCAGGGAAGCATACAAAACTAGAAATATAGTCATCTGTCTGTCTGTCTCTCTCTGTCTGTCTCTCTCTGTCTCTGTCTCTCTCTCTCTGTCTCTCTCTCTCTCTCTGTCTCTCTCTCTCTCTCTGTCTCTCTCTCTCTCGCTCTGTCTGTCTCTCTCTCTCTGTCTCTCTCTCTGTCTCTCTCTGTCTCTCTCTCTCTCTCTGTATCTCTCTCTCTGTCTGTCTCTCTCTCTCTGTCTCTCTCTCTCTCTCTCTTTGTCTGTCTCTCTCTCTGTCTGTCTCTCTCTCTGTCTCTCTCTCTCTCTCTCTCTCTGTATCTCTCTCTCTCTCTCTCTGTCTCTCTCTCTGTCTGTCTCTCTCTGTCTGTCTGTCTGTCTGTCTGTCTCTCTCTCTCTCTCTCTCTGTCTCTCTCTGTCTGTCTCTCTGTCTCTCTCTCTCTCTCTCTCTCTCTCTCTCTCTCTCTCTCTCTCTCTGTCTGTCTCTCTCTCTATG